TTGCACAAAACCTCCAACTTTTCTTGATCAATGACAATAATAACTCAAGAAATTACAATTAAATTTAACATTTTCGCTCCATACTCAAAATTTATTACCATGATTACATAACTTTCCTTTGAAAAGTGTTGTTTCTATGTAAAACATATAACAGTCGTTACAAAATGTTCTGTTGCATGTTGGTAAAATAGTATTTTTTCTTTATTGTTTAAGAGTGATGTTTATTTTCTTTTGTCATGACAAAACCGAGGTTGTGGTATTGTATTAAAATAAATATAATTGGAAAAAAGGTTAAAATAAAATCTCAGTCTGGTACTACAAAAAAAATGAAAAACATTTATTTAAGCACACGTGTTCTGGTATTTTTTCATTGACAGGTTTTGCACTACATATGTATTTGAATACTAGTGGTTGGTTTTCACGCCTTTTTCATGCTTAAACGTTTGTCTATGTCTTTATATGAATAAAAGGAAATTTGGGGTAAAATTAATTAACTTGACTTATCATTAAATGTTTACTTACATTGGTTATCTCAAATAATGTTAAAAAAAAGAGTCAAAAGATACCAATGGAATATTCAAACTCATAAGTCGAAAAGATAAATATCAAAAAATCAAACAAAAGTATACAAAACACAACATAGAAAGACTGAACAAATTAAACCCCACTAAAAGCCGGGGGTGATCTCAGGTGTTTCTGGTGAAACAGGGACGTCTTAGCCATTCGAAACACATGATTTGGTTCACTCATTTTAAGTGTGGTTCAATATTAATTTTGATAGGTTGTGTCTGGATGTATTTGCTTTTGACATTTCATTGTTTTTCTTTTGGTCATTATACTTCCTGTTCTTCCTCGACTTATGTTGTATGTTTGCCCCTTTAAATATACCTCCCACATTTTGTAGAAGATAGTTCGGAAATATCAAAGGGATGTTTGAACTCATAAGTCTAAGACAAACTGACTACTCCATGGTAAAAACAAATCAACAGTAGACAAACCACAAAATAGAAAAATTAATACTGAGCAACACGAACCCCACCAACAAAGCTGGGGTGATCCCAAAGGGTAACAGACTCTATTCCACATTAAACGCATGGTCGTGTGTCATATTATAAGTATAAATTCGGTGATAAGTCTAATTCGGTAATGTCAGATTTGAGGACAACAGGACAGGATTGTGGTTATTAAAACTGCAACATATCCGTCGTCAACATTTCGTAAATTGTACAACATGCCATTATGAACCAAGTCATAAGATATTCCATATTTTTATTTTTATTGTATTTTTTTGTTTTTTTTGTTAGTGTATACTAAATCGGGATACCGTTTTGCTTTATCGAATAAGATATGTGGTCAATCGACGTTGGCATGCAAAATAAGTTCCTTTACTTATAAAAAACTCATTACGACTCCTTGCCAGCAAGGATTAAGACCTTATCACAATATGAGACATGTAAAACAATAACAAACATCAATATTTACATTTGCAATTGCAGGGGGAATGGACTTTTATAACATTCCCGCCTACAGGTCACATTTGCTGCGCCATGCATGTCTTCTATTACATCACGTTGTATCGATGTAAGAATTGTTCAGATATGTTAGAAATTTAAATTCCTTCAGTAGTACCATTCAATTATAGTATGAAACTTGATTAAAAACATGTAAAACGTGTTGTTTTAACACCTTCTAAGATACAAACAAGTTATTTTGACAAACGCATTTAAAAATATACAAATTATCCAACATTGAAAGTTTGTGTAACATAAAATGTATATGTACTAGAACTGCATTTCCTTTGAGAATCTTGTTATAGGCCTGACGACAAGAAAAGAAACTGTATTTTGACACTTGATTAGCTTAGATAGAAACAAATAAAGTTTTCCTTCATTTAACATTATATATTTATAGCAATGTTGAGAGAGAGAGAGAGAGAGAGAGAGAGAGAGAGAGAGAGAGAGAGAGAGAGAGAGAGAATAATATAAGATATACTAACATATTTTGAATTTTTCTTGCAGAAAATACATAACAGCTTTATTTTTATGAGTTATGTATAAGGAATACTGAATGTTGAAGTGCATTAACCGGATCAAAACTAATAGATCGGAAGTTGTATGTACATTGTTTAATATTTTTTTCTTCACAATTGACGGAAATTTTGTGGATAATCATGTACATATGTCCAGAAGTAAACATCAAACGGAAGAGATCCCGTAAGAAGTCAACAAATCGTGAGCGAGATTTGATCAAGGTCACGCATTATTGGTTGATCATGTTTACCGGGTGACGTGTCACCAGGAATTGTAACTATTGTTAACACGACATCTTTATGTTTGTGGTTTTGTACACATTTTCCTCACATAGTTTTATACTACTAAAAAAATTGATTATCACGTATAAATACTTTAAAAACAAAACACGGTAGTCTCGGTATTTCATTCAGTACTTGTTTCTGATAAAGGAAATAGTAACAAATATTGTACGTATCTTACTGTCAACCATTAAGATATTTCATAGAAGATGACTTATTTATTTTAAATAAATACTTAAATATATATGAAAATAATATTAGTAAAGATTCAGAATTATTGTACCTCATTTTATAAAAATGCTGATTTATTGATTAGTTTAATAGCCCAATTAGAAATAACATGTACTAGTATTTGATTCAACTATTATCATTATATGAATCTAATTTAACATTTCATGTTTTCTGCGAAGCCGACCGTAAAGACATCCATTGTAAAAGATAATCATTCAAACAAGATTTTTTTTTTAATTTGAACGTACTAGTTTGGACACAGAAAAGTACTGTCACCTTCATTTATATAATTCACATTAACTCTCATCTGTCTCATATATTCTAACCCTACTACAGGGCAACATAGATATTATTATAAGGTCAAAGCGAAGGTAATATTACTTGTCAAGGTATACGTCAAGGTCGTCCACTATAATCCGTTTTCAATGATTTAGTAATACGACAAATCATATACTGTCATTCCCTTTATTTTTCTAATGACAAACATTAATTCCTTTGTAAAATCATCTTGTATATCAGATCATGATCAGATAAGTTCAGGTAAAACAATTCTCATTTTTTTTAGTTTTATAAGGAAATGCAGTTTACTTTGATATGGGAACAGGGATTAACAAGTGTACCGAAATCTTCGAAATATAAATGGGCTATGGTAAATCTAACGGAAACAAACAAATACTGTAATTCAAATAAAAAAGTCAGTATAGTGTATGCTTCTTCTACTAACAAATTAGTTATATATTGCATGTCGTGCAGTAGAATAAAATGAAATCATATTTTAAACTTTGATATGCAAATAAAGTCTTACTATTCGTCGGGCATTAGAACATTTCAAATAAGTTTTTGTCAAATGAGAATACTATCTTAATATGAAACATTAGGACATATCTGCAATTGATGCTTACTCATTTGAAAAAAGGTTCCACGACCGGAGCATCTAATATTATCCCGCTTGTTAATGGGGCTTGTGTTGCTCAGCCTTTAGTTTTGTGTGTAGTGTTCTGTAGACTTCTGATTGTCTTTTCATTTTTTTTTGTTGGTAAAACACCTCTGTTTTCTTCGACTAGTCAGTTTTGATAGTCATTCTTAGATTTTGCATTTTTTTTATTATTGAATTCATCAAACATAGAATGCAATATTTTAGCCTTTTGGCCTGGTTTTTTTTTTACCTTAACACTGTAAAAAAATGTCTCGAAGGAAAAAGAAGAACGAAAACATTTCGGTTCTTGTTCAACTCAATGACACCTAAGACATTTAGCATAATAAATAAAAAGTACACAACATTCATTTGTTACATCGTTATTGCATGATTAATGTGTGAAAAATTATTTGTCAAGGTATTCATCAAGGTTATCCACTGTCAACTCCAATATTCATATTTTATATATTTATCACTTAATCATTTACAGGGGTCTGGATGAGGGTCCTTCATTTCTGTATTCTTTAATTTTAGGCCAATTTTCTCTATTCTTTATACTTTTTGCCCATTAATCTCCATTCTTTATATTTTAGCACCTCATTATTTTATATTCCTTTTTTTTTGGAGGGTCATTTTTCTTTATTCCTAATAGTTTGTACCCATTATTCTCTATTCTGTAATCTTCCATACAGCCCTCATTTACAAGTTTATATACATGTTGAGTGATTCTCTGATCTTTTATACATTTTTTATATGATTACAAAAATTTGTTTACATGCTATCCCTTTTTATAAACAGCATAGAACAAACACGTTTCATTAACATTTTGTTTAATTCAAAACGATAAACATGATCTGTAAATGATTAGAATAATTGCTTTTTCACACGCTTTTAAATTGTAAGGATAAATACTCCTACAAAAACATAAGAAAATTGTTGTTTGGCCGCGTGTTGGCATTTTCTGTTCTTCATTTTTTTTTCTTCAAATAATTGATAAAGGTATTCCTAAAGACCAGTGTTTAATTACAACATTAATTAAACAACTTCGATACACATCGGCAGATTTGAGAAAATACCTCTGATATTCATAAATACTTAGTATACCAGAATTTTCATGTTTAACCTCGATGAGATGATTCAACATCAAGTATGAATAAAATGATATGTGGAAAAAAGTTCAACGAGACAACAACCTAGATATAGACTTTCACTAACTTATATATATTGCTTGTATCTAAATAAAAAAAAACATTGACTTTTATTTTATAATTTCACCTCATTTCATGGATATGTTTTTATTCGAATTTTAGCAGTAGGCATCCTAAATTGGAAGTTTCGGGCAGTTTCTTATTCGATTTTAGCCATGTTGACTTATTTGCTTATGGTAAAGTGACGATTCATTTAAAATCGACTAATTTGCTTATGCATGTTATGGTAAAATGACGATTATTGGCTATCATTTTTGTTGCCTTTGGTTTGTGATTTTTTTTGTGTGCATATAATGTGTTTTAGTTAACATTTAAGAATTGTTTTCTTTTATAGAAATGTCTTCACAAATAGAATCAATTACACCAACGTTTGAAATAATTATTGACGATGTATCGGAGAAACTTGAACCACGTGACTTATTCTGTCAGATGGACGCTTTGCGTCACTACAATGACGACTTCGTCTGGAAGGAGGTACGAAGGTGAGAACATGTTTCCATTTTCAATGTTTTGTGAATGGAAATAAAAACTGTGGTCCATACCTATACAAAGCAAGTAGTCAAAGTTGTGTGTATTGGGTCCTCAATGCATCTTACAACATTTCATTATGTTAAAATGAGGATTGCTAAATTGTTTACGGATGTTTGAATCTTACAAAACCTATAAGAAAATACAAATCAGTTTAAAAAAAAAATCAGATAATCGCATGAACTTCAGGGAATACAATTCGGTCTCCTTTTGATACAAATCTTAAACTTCATACAAATTCCGTTTTGAAACTTATTTAACGCCTTCCATGCATTGTCAGGAATATGACAGTATCGTTTTCTGGTCTCACGGTCATACAACTTAACTCGGTACTCGGAGCACACAATCTGAGCTCGAAACACTAATTCCAATATTTTGATTGGTTGATTTCTTAGTCTGAGTGTGATAATTGTGCTCAAAATGTTACACACTGGTGAAAATCCATGGTGAACATTGACATAAATTTCACTTTTTATTTCTAGATGGGTGAAATTTGAAGAAGAAATAGAAGAAAAAGGAAAAAGATGGTCAAAACCACACGTATCATCGATCTGCATGCAGTACCTGACAGAGTTACATTTAATTGTGGCATCTAATCCGTGTTTACTAGATATAGAGGCGACATCTATGTTCGATATAGTCGGTAAGATGTCGCTTATTGTCGGACTAATATTTTCTATTGTTATTATTTTTTTTCCTTTTGTTGTTTATTCCGCCAAATTCCCTAAGTTTATAACGTCTTTAAATCATTCCTGAAAGTCATTTCCGAAATTCGCCATTTGAGACTCTAATATTATAGTTGGTTTCCCAGAAATAGTACTGGGTCGCTGAATTAGAAGAGCAAGGGTTCAATGCAGATATAGAATTATTGATTACTTGCGCATGTTGACTATACAAATAAATAAGTTCAAACGGAGTTTTGTAACAATAAAGTTATAAGTACGATAACAATAATAATGAAATATAGAGATTTGAAAATTTTAAGAAATGTATTGACTGACGCAAAATATAAACGAATATTAACTTAGAATATTTACGTATTTGCATCGCTATACTAATACCACAATACCACGTCAATGCTTGAATATCTGAAACAAGGAATAAAAAACACATGAATGATGATTTTTTTATTTTATTTTGGTCACAATCAGTGCTTACAAAAATCACATATTTTGGGTATCATACTTTATTAATATTTTGTCAGACACATTATTGGAGCAATGGCGGTTCAACGGAAGCTTAAATAGTTTGCTATGGAATCACGTGAGAGCTGTTCTGCTTAAAAGGCACAAACATCAGCATGTCGGCAGACGACAGATAAAGCGCCACCAAAGCAGAGCCAGTAATCTGTTCCAAGGGGCGTTTCTCAGTGACGAAGAGGATGCGCCGTCATCACCGGAAATCAGAAGTAGAATGAATGGTTTGTATGAAATAGTAGATCATGTGACAAATGCGAAAAATAAAATGATTTATGTGACGGACGGGCGTAACCCGTATAACCCATCCCTCTTTTGGATAGAAGGATGGGTAGTTAACGTCCAATGGAAACTAGTATAGTTATATATAGGAAAAGGTTATGATCATATGAGATGATTATATTATATGAACCACCAACGGAGATAAGTCAGATTTTAATGTTAGACTCGACAATAAGACACCCGCGCTATTTATCCACATGTTTCTGACTTCCAATTTAACAGTTTTTACTCTTACTTGTGCATGACACCCCAATAGCAAAACAGGGACGTATTTTAAATTTGAAAATATTTAATTTGTCTCGATAATTTACATGATTGACACTCAAGCAGGTGTTTTAAAAGATATATCTTTGTTAATTAGTGGTTTTAGATGAAACAAAAGTGCAGAATAAAATGCATAATGTTGTGCATGTATTTTAAGTTAGACTAATTATCGTCTAATTTGTCATAGAAAGTTCAAAAACAAAGAATTATAATGTATTTGTCGTACCTTTAGGATAAAAAGGAGACCACAATTATTCCTTTGATGCGTGTAAAAAAGCCCACATTTGATGCAATTTAGAAACATATCAGAAAATCTGTACTGTTACACCAGTGTTCCATGTTAGGCGTAGGGTTGAGTGCTCACAAATCCATGTTAATCCATGCCCTCTTCCTTATGTTTCTGTCCTAAGTCAACCACATTTAGTTGAATGGTTGTTGTGGGTTGATGTTTGTAATTATTTGTTTTTTGTTAACTGTTTTGTCGTTATTGAGGCCGTTTGGTTCCTTGGTTGAATTGTGCTAAACTTTGATATGCAGGGGCCTTTTATATCTGAACATACGGTATGGATTTTGTTCATTGTGAAAGGTCGTACGGTAACCCATAGCTGCTCACATTCACGTCATTTGAACAACGAACATGTGATTCCAAGGAAAACGGTATGCAGAGAAATACAACGAACGAACAACGCATAGTTCAGATGGTCCGAATAGTTACAGTCACGAAATGTGCACAACCCCATCTTGTCTAGGTAGAACATGTGTTTTGAAAGTAAAACACAGAACACGTTGTCCTTCAAATTTACTTTACATATATATTCAAAATGAATTTACGAGATTTTAACTACTTCTACCTTTTATCTATTTATTTGTTCATTTTAAGGAGGATACCAGCCGAGCACACAGAGCCTGTCTGAGCTGGCCAACGGAATTGAAAATGGCGATGTCAAAGCAAGCAATCCTAATCTACTATCATTCGGTGGAGAGGTGTGTTATCACGTTACTCATAATAAAAAAATAAATATCTCTCCTATAAATAATAAAAATAAAAGGCTTGCATAGAAAACAGGGTTACAAAAGTATGAAAATGCAAACGAATTCAAAATATATATATACATACATGCACGTATGAATAAGAAGATGTGGTATGAGTGCCAATGAGAAAACTATCCATCCAAGTCACAATGTGTAAAAAGTAAACAATTATAGGTCAAAGTACGGCCTTCAACACAGAGCCTTGGCTCACATCGAACAGCAAGCTATAAAGGGCCCCAAAAAGACATGTGTTAAACAATTCAAACAGGAAAACCAACGGTCTAATCTATATAAAAAAAAATAAAAATGCAGCGGCTTTAAACGTTTTAACAGGCGCCAATGTATATAATACTCTTTCGATACTTTGTTCTGCTTTCCAGACATTTTTCCTTAAACTTTCATGTTATAATTGACTCTGCTAATTGTAACAATTATATATCTTCCAAATCTTAAATAAAAATACCGATTTCTTAAACTCATGTTATTTGTTTTTATTTAAATCCAGACCAATAGAAAATTCAAAAGGAAGATTCCAGACGGAGCTGAAGTTATGAATATAATGGTAGGCGAGGTGGAAGAACTTACTAACAACCTGTGTGCTTTTGTGCGTCTGCGCGAGGCAAAGGATTTGGGAAAAATAACGGAAGTCGACTTGCCAACTCGTTTCCTGTTTATACTACTGGTTCCTAAAGCCCATTTAGAACCAGCAATAGAAGCTGGTCGATGTATGGGAGCACTAATGACAGATGAGGTAAACAATCATGATAAATGCGCATGTACCCTACATATCATGTTATGCTTTAAACAAAGTGATGTCAACTAAACATTGAAACATTAACCAACTCTAACTTTTACCAATTAAAATTTGTAGCAAAATATATGGCTAAAAGAAGCCTGCTTTATTTGCAACTGCGAAATGAAGAACAATAGTAACGCATCGTTCTTTTTTGTTATATTTTGGTTATTTGACCGATTATGTCCTTTCCTCACTATGACATTTTAGCAGAGTGTGAATTCGCATGGAGGTTGATGCATGCATAATAGGAGATTCACTTAACCTGTCGATACACCCGTTTCATCCTTTTTTGGAGTCCATGCAATTCTCCCAGTTTCTGTGTGTTTTTTTTAAATATTTTTCTCTTCCTAATCGATTAATTAGATTTGAACATCGGTAAACTACTGTCGCCTTTTTATTTCCCAGTTATTCGTGAGAATATATCTCATGTCCATCAAATATAGCATGAGAATATATCTCATGTCCATCAAATATAGCATGAGAATATATCTCATATAGCCTTACTTTACAAATGAAATTTAGATTAAACAAGTAATTGAATGGACAATTATAGTTCTGAATTGAAGGTACTATATTTCTCCAAGGACAAATTAGCTATGAGGGTGTGGATAGGGGTTTACAGAATAGAGAATAATGGGCAAAAATATATAGAATAGAGAAAAATGGACCAAAAATATAAAGAATAGAGAATAATGAGGTGCTGAAATATAAAGATTAGAGAATAATGGTCACAAAGTATAAAGAATAGAGAAAAATGGCATAAAAAATTGAGGAATACAGAAATGAAGGACCCCCTATCCAGACCCTCAGCTATCATTAAGTCTAGACAATCAAACAGTTCATCTTGTGATTAACAACACTCACATCGTCATGTAAATGACAAACGTTGTCATATTTTATTGTTTTATGTTTGTTTGTATTTTTATTTATAAATATCGTACTTTTTAATAGTAGTAAATTGTATTTTATTGGTGTATCAATCATTTCTTAACTATTATGTGTCCTGAAATCTGGTTAACAAGACAATATAGTATTTATAAAACGGACATGAAAACATTAAAAAAGATGAAATAAAAAATAAAATGTAATTTTGGATATTTACAGCTTACGAAACAACATTTTTTTTGATAAAGAATCGAATCGAAGAAATTCTACAAGCGACATCATAATATAATAAATTAACAATGTTATCAATTTTAATTTTTAAAGTCTATTCCATAATCTAAGAAGGGGTTTGTGTTGCTCAATCTATTTTTTTTCGTTTAGTAATCGTTGTTTTGCCATGACATTGTCAGTTCGTTTTCGTCTTATGCGTTTTATTATCTCTTTGGTATCTTTTGCCTCTCTTATGCACTTACAAACATTATCCCTAGAATTAACTAACGTGTCAACTGGGCCGAGTCCCGATGCACTCACAAACTGAAAATAAATGTCCGTTCGAAAACTTTTGTTCAATTTGTGAGTGCATCGGACCAGTTTTTCATTACACATCAATTTCGTGGAACCCCAGCAACACATTAATGTATATTGGGAATGAAAATTAAAATGAAATCGACGCAGGGTTCATATAGGTTACGAAAGTAGTTCTGGCCTTGGGGTCAGAAAAAATTAGAGCACGCTTATCGTACTCAGAATCAGAAATTAATCAATCAAAATACTGGATTTTATGTGTCAAGCACATATGTTGAACTGCTAGTACTAAGTAAGGTTTATGACCGAGAGCCCTGTCAACATGGTACATGTCTATGGAAGTATAAACAAAGGAAAGAAATTCTAACGGACCAATCACATTTAAGTATTTGTAGATAAGGAAATCATCCCAAATTATAATTTATGTTCAATTAGATTTTCCGGGAGATTGCCTACAGTGCCGAGGAGAAAAATGATATTCTCTCAGGATTGCAGGAGTTCATCAGTCAAACGATTGTGCTGCCTCCTGGATCATGGGACCCTAGCATCAGAATTGAACCGCCAGCCGAAATTCCCACAAAGGTAGGAAAAATCACGAAAATCATTTTATTATTTTAGAGTAAAATGCCACCCAAGTCAGATTAGATTATTCCAGGCAAAATGCTACCTAAGTCTGACTAAATTCATTCAGGCAAATGAAAGTAAGACTGAACTCATCAAGGTATGAAAATGCTACCCAAGTCAGTATCCTACTTTTTAAGTGCTAAAGCACTCATTGGTGGTTACGTAGGTAAAATTGAGAATGGAAATGGGAAATGTGTCAAAGAGACAACAACCCGACCATAGAGCAGACAACAGCCGAAGGCCACCAATGGGTCTTCAATGCAGCGAGAAACTCCCGCACCCGGAGGCGTCCTTCAGCTGGCCCCTAAACAAATATGTATACTAGTTCAGTGAGAATGGACGTCATACTAAACACCAAAATATATACAGGAAACTAAAATTAAAAATGATACAAGACCAACAAAGGCCAGAGGCTCCTGACTTGGGACAGGCGCAAAAATGCGGCGGGGTTAAACATGTTTTTTTTAGATTAGTGGTACTTAGGTGGCCTCGTGACCCACTTTGAAGAACTAAAATGTTGGGTTGATTGTTATATTGTTTCATTCTGAATATTAATATGCATCAAGTTTTTGCCACTGGAAGTAAAGTAAACAGTTATCTATTAATCAACCTTTAAGTTGATACACATGTTAATGATATTTCTAATGCAATGTATAGTTTTTTGTCCTTAAAATTTCAATAATATAGTATGAAACTACTCGGTACACCCCTTTGAGTGATGATAATTTGAATTTTAAATCATCAGAAAAATCGTAGCATGTACGTAATTCCATTTACATTTGATTGAAGGAATCGAGAAAACCTCCAGCGTACGCAACTATTGTTATTAATAAGAATGAAGAAGATAGCCATGATGATCCCACCTTAGAAAGAACAGGCAGGTTTGTATTTAATAAGAATTGACAGGCAAGTTTGTATTTTATAAGAATTGACAGGCAAGTTTGTATTTTATAAGAATTGGCAGGCAGGTTTGTATTTAATAAGAATTGGCAGGCAGGTTCGTATTTAATAAGAATTGACAGGCAGGTTTGTATTTAATAATAATTGGCAGGCAGGTTTGTATTTAATAAGAATTGACAGGTAGGTTTGCATTTTACAAGAATTGATAGGCAGGTTTGTATTTTATAAGAATTGACAGGCAGGTTTGTATTTAATAAAAATTGACACGCAGGTTTGTATTTAATAAGAATTGACAGGCAAGTTTGTATTTAATAAGAATTGATAGGCAGGTTTGTATTTTATCAGAATTGACAGGCAGGTTTGTATTAAATAAGAATTGGCAGGCAGGTTTGTATTAAATAAGAATTGACAAGCAAGTTTGTATTCAATAAGAATTGTCAGGCAAGTTTGTATTTATTAAGAATTGATAGGCAAGTTTGTATTTAATAAGAATTGACAGGCAAGTTAGGCAAGTTTGTATTTAATAAGAGTTGACAGGCAGGTTTGTATGTTAAAAGAATTGACAGGCAGGTTTGTATTTAATAAGAATTGACAGGCAGGTTTGTATTTAATCAGAATTGACAGGCAGGTTTGTATTTAATAAGAATTAACAGGCAGGTTTGTATTTAATAAGAATTGACAAGCAGATGTGTGAAGACTAGAACGTACAGTCATGCTTGTATTATATTAGAACTGACATGAACAATAATTGGCTGTTTCAGAATCTAAAGGATTGTGGGTAATATTTTCAAAAGTATACACCAAAACGTTGTGATTGGTTAAAACTGTATTAAACAACGGAACCTCAGCCAATGGCATGACATTGTTTTCATTTTGGAGTATGAACAATGAAATTACTCATAATCCTTTAGATTTTAAAACGGCTGATTGGCATTGTCCAGTTGGCAATCATATCACGTCTCCTTATTTTTAATGAAGCTTGGGTTGAGACGATGTGGTAAAATTGCTTATTGGGCAACTCTCCACCAGAGACCAAATGACATAGAAGTAAACAACTAAAGATCACGGACGTACTGTCCTCAACAACGAGGCAAACCCATAATCTATCAAAAGGCACCGAAATGACAAATGTAAACGCAATAAATGAAAAACAAATATGGTATACAGCAACAAACGACAACTACTGAATTACAGGCTCCTGGCATGGGACAGGCACAAACAGAATGTTGTGGGGTTCATATTACTGCTGATTCAAATTACTAAGTACCCATAGTTGTTAAATACAGTTTTAAATCTCAGTTTATGAATTAAGTAATTTGGCTTTAAAATTTATGTCTTGGTTTGAGCGTTCCGGACATAAGAAATTAATCAATTGATTTGTCTCCCTTGAAATTTTGCAGATGAACTTTTTTTTATCTTTCAGAGTATTTGGTGGCCTCATTGCTGACGTAAAACGTAAACTTCCGTACTACAAAAGTGATTTTACCGATTCATTACATATACAGTGTGTGGCATCCTTCATTTATCTCTTCTTAGCTACATTAACCCCTAATGTGACCTTTGGTGGACTTCTATCAGACGCAACAGATGGCTCTATGGTAAGCGTCTCTTCTTTAAGGATTTCTTACAATGACAGAATCTGGATATACGAGGACCTTGATTTCTATTATCTTACAGTTTCAAGACCATTTCTTCTGTTCTTTGTTTTTTATGGCCCATCATTCTCTATTCTCTAAACCCCCATCAAGACGATCATATATGCATTGCGTCTAATTGAAGTGACTTATTGATAGCACTCTGATTAAAATACACATCTGTGTCCAAGCTTCGCTTACACTGAATCTGAAAACGCCCCGTTCTACTTTCTGTTTTAAAGACCTTTTGGTATTCTCATGTTTTGTCATTTTAATACACACCTTCAAAATTTTGAAGGCTGAAATTTCATTGGCTGATAAAATAATTACAAGAACAGAAAGTAAAATGGAGTGTTAACAGATCCTTGTTAGCAAAGTGTTGACACAGGATCTGTAATTAGATTGCATTGACCTCGATACGATGAAAACAAAAGTGATCTTTTTGTTTGACTATAGTATTTACAAGCACTGTGTCTAATACAAATTTCAAAAATTCAATATTTCAAAAAGGATATATAACTTTTGATTCGTAGATCACCTACGTTTCATCTAGATGTTTATATAGTCATAATCAATGTGGCATTTACAAAGTAAATATAATGCATCTTGGTAATACTTTGAAATCGGACATCAAGAGATATGCACTGTGAGGGATTAAAAACAATAGATATTTAACCAATGATGTAAAGTAAAATTTATTTTTGTGTACGAACAATGAAATTCTTCCATTCGTTTGCTGTGTTTAACCTTTTGATTTTGCCATGTGATAAAGGATTTTCCGTTTGAAATTTTCCTTGAAATCAATATTTTTGTTATTTTATTTTTTGATTCCGAACGGCGAATTGATAACATCACTGCATGTAGATAAATACTGTGATTTAAATTTTCCCAAAGTGAATTTCCCTTTTCTAATAAGGACAGTATACTTAATTACCGTTGGGTTTCCCGTTTGAATGGTTTTATACTAGTAATTTTTGGGGCCCTTTATAGCTTGCTGATCGGTGTGAGCCAATGCTCCGTGTTGAAGGCCGTACCTTGACATATAATGGTTTACTTTTATAAACTGTTACTTGGATGGAGAGTTGTCTCATTTGCACTCATACCACATCTTCCTATATCTATTAAAAAAGTATAACAAATATACCGAACTCCAAGGTAAATTCAATAAGGGGTAAGTCCATAAACACTGACAAAATCAAACGTTATGAAACACAGAACGAGTGAAAAAACAACTGTAATATTCCTGACTTGGTACAGATATTTTCCGAAGTTTTATATCTAGCTAAACCTCCAACTTGTATGACTGTTGTTTTTAGTTCCGTATTGTCAAATTGGGTGAGCAACCCAAACAGACATGACAGCTAGGTTAATGTGACAATGATTTGGATTCCAGCAGCCAAAACTGTGTAAACATACATCATCACAGACATACAACACAACTTTTTAAACTTCAAACAAACAAACAAATAAATCTAACAAAGACGCCTTCAAAACGGTTGATTTAATTGATAGCAAATTTGACAAAGACGCCAACAAAAAAGTTTTTGTAGTTGATAGTACTTAATCGTTCAGTACACACTTTCTCAATAAAGTACAAATTAAGTAAAATATAAATACAAGGGTAAACAAAATGGAAACAGCAATGTACAATCCTCTTGCATCCGAGTCGCAACTCAGGACCCGCCTACACCAGAAACGCCCAAAATCAAAAACCCGATAGCGGGATGTATAAATACCGAGTCACGTTAAAGGTCAAACGACCAAAAGAAACATTAGAGCGCGAAAACAAATGGAGGGAAAACTGTAAAGTAAATAAAAAGATACACAACTTTAGCACATAGAGTTTATAATTCAAGACCATCTCGTATTATTTGTGAAGTAGACACTGAATATTCATCTACTAGGTCTTGGTATTTTCCGATGAACTTTTTTATGGAGACATTGGGGATTATTTCATGTGGTATGGTGGTGTAAAGGGTTGGAAAATTGAAGGTTTTGACAGAATTAATTTCAGAGAATGACCGAGACTTAAAGTTTCCAGAAGCTCTTTTGAAATCTGAAGAATTCACGTATATTTAATGTATCTATGCAAGAAAACAGTGTCACAGTATTTTGTAATCTCTATTTTACTGTGAACAAAATTACAAAATTCTTCCTTAACGTATAAATAGGGAACACTTTGATGTACGCACAATCGTTTTGATTCCGAACGGCGAGTTCATCACTTGATTGTCGATAAATACTGTGATTTAAATTTCCCAATAGTGAATTTCCCCTTTTCAGCAGGAATACTTATCCTCCTTAACGTTTTTTACAGGGAACAATTGAATGTATTCTGGCAGCATCAATTACAGGAGTTATATTCGCACTATTTGCTGGACAGCCACTAAATATTCTAGGAAGTACAGGACCTATGCTTGTATTGGAGATGATACTGTATAATTTTTGCAAGTAAGATTATTTCTAATACTTTGCCGTTACAAATAACTTGACGGTAGGGTGTATTTTTTTTTTGCCGATTTGGGTCCAAATAAAGTTTTAAAGATTGAAACATAAGGAAAAGACAAAAAAAATTACGATAAACAAAATTTCCAAAACTATCGAAGAATACTAAGTAACTTTTTTTGTCATATAGCTCCTTATGTTTATTTATTTTTTCATTCCTGTTTTTCCCCATATATTTAGGTTTTAGCATTTCTGATAAAGGTAAATCCAGGAAAGCGATTGGACGAACCAAATTTATAAAGTGTATAACGTGTTAGTTTCATTTATTATTTTATAAATCTTCAAGTTTAAAGTCTATCATAAGGGAGCTACCATTTGATTTTTATGGGAGGGAGGGCTAGGATGAAATTTGAAAAAAAATAGGCAGGACAGAAGTTTTGAGTAAAAAAAAAAGGCAGGATGAGAGATTTGCAAAAAAGAAGTCAGGATGACAATTTAGGTAAAAAAAAGTCAGGACCGAATAGAGTGAAAAATAAAAAGGCAGGACAGAGATTACAACTAAAAACTGACATCGACATAGACAAAAGATTTCCGAAAATCTATTTTTGAAAATCTTATAAATTAATTGTTATTTTTATTTTTTCATAGGTTTTGAAAGATAAAAAGTAACAATATAAATGTATGAAAATTCCAAAGAGAATCATTTCCCGCCAAATTTTCAATTGATTGTATCTCAAAAACAAGTACACGGATTTTCATATTTTTATGGAGGGGGAGGGGGGCTTTTTTAATTCCGTTATTTACATACTATCATTGTATAACGGTCTTTTAAAAAGCTTGTTATTTTGAAGCAGAGAAGCGAACATCCTTAAAACTGGTCACGTTGATAATGATTATCTTTCAAAACGTAGATGGATCTCCGTTACTTCACGATTGTAGACACTATCTGTATTTCAGTATTTATATCGGACAGTACAGGAGGTCTATGTCAATGAACACTTCTATCAAAGGGCAAATCATTAGATTTGTTATTTACCTCAAATCATGCCTTCTAAATCCATTACATATTTAACTTATATTTATTGATTTCACTATTTTCAGAGATCATGAATGGGATTTTATGCCTGTACGTGTATGGGTAGGCTTGTGGACTGCACTTTTAATCCTTATCATTGTTGCGTTTGACCTAAGCTCATTGGTTCGTTACATAACAAGATTTACCGAAGAATGTTTTGCTTGTCTCATTGCACTCATATTTATATACCAAGCCTTTCTGCAGTTATATAAAATCGGGATAGACTATCCAGTTCACCGTAATACTGAATTAGCAACTGACAGTGGATGTTTTTGTATCATAAACAATTTTACCATTCCAACAACGACACCAAATCCAGAAGAAGGCTTGTTAGTTCGTCATGTCAGATCGGCTTCTCTCAGTCTATCCTCAAATGAAGATATAGTAACTCGCTCACCAAGAGACGAAATGCCTTCACATCAGTTTATTGCACCTTCAAATTGTTCACTTTATGGCGGAATTTTAAATGGAAACGGATGTGATAGTTATCAGTATGTCCCGGATGTGTTGTTTATGTCCGGTATATTATTCTTTGGAACATTTATAATTGCAAAAATATTGGTGTCTTTCAAAAAAACACGTTATTTCTCTACAATGGTATGTATAATAAGAAATAATAAAAAAATATTATAAAAATAAGGAGATGTGGTACGATTGCCAATGAGACAGCCTGGCCTTTGTTAGTCTTGTATGTTTTTTTTTTAATTTTAGTTCATTTTTATTAGTTTAGTGTGACGTCCATTTTCACTGAACTAGTACACATTTTTGTTTAAGGGGCCAGCTATAATATCTTTACTACTAAAACAAGGTCCAATTTGCAAGCCGGCATGACGTAAAAACGACGAATCAAAGAATTCAACTTTATATATAACTAATATAGGACAATGGTGTTGGTTAAAACTTACAACATTCCAGGTTCAGTTCAGTTTCTTGTATATTCCTCCATTAATTGTGGAGCACTACCCATAGGGTATAATTGTAGCAACTATATACACCTTAAAACATAAGGAGACATTTAATTATGTACAGATGACTGAATTTAGGCAATAATAATTACTAAATAATTAATATTATAATTAATTCATAGGATTGTCATCATACAATTTTAAAAATAATATTCATAATGTGCTGAGGTGTAAGAACAAGTTAAGTAAGAACTGGATATATTTACAAATAAGAATTTAGAATTTAAGTGGTCTTAAATTAAACTTTCTTATAATTGTTAGTTAAAGGTGCTATACGTACATCAGAATTTATAATGAAAAGGTTATTTTATAAGACTTATGTAAAAGGGTTGGGGTTTAGAACAATTCAACATATATACACAAGTTTTCCTTCACAGTTTAAAATTACCTTATTTGGGATCTTGTCATTATTCTTTAAAGGTACTTGATATCTTAAAACTTTGCAAAAAATTAATTAATTTAGGTCCTAATAAGTCATAAAATGGTAAGATGGTAAAGTAGGAAACTATTTGAAAATCCAGGCCCTTTTGTTTTCCAAATAATTAACAAGTTCCGGGTCGAATCTGGTAGCGATAACAATAGTATATGTCACATGTAGTTTCCGGTTGCAGTAAGAAAACCAGGACGGGTTCAAACAGAAAGATTTTGAAATCAGAGAAAACTGTGCACCTTATAACTAGCATGACATTATCAGATGACAATACGAACACTAAAAATGCAGGCTTAAAATAAGGCGTAGGTTCTTTAATTCAGTCACTGACGTGCGATGTTACGGGTGTGTTCTAGTAGATTAGTATAAAAATAAGGTGATGTGGTATTTTTAGTTTTGGCAATGAGACAACTATCAATAGCCCAAAAGACGAGGATGTAAGCAACTAAAGGTCGCCGTATGCTCATTTCCCAAATAGTTTTGTAATTTGTTCCCACTTCCCTTAATATTTCCTTCTCTTTCTTCGGTCCCACTTTTTAACCCTTATATCCTACATCCTCACTTTTTGTACCCCTATATCCCATATCCAAAAACGTGTCACCCCTTTCAATTAACTATTGTCAATTTTGGTCAATATTTGATATGAATATTCATGTGTTTAGGTAAGACAAACAGTGAGTGACTTTAGTGTTCTGATTGCCATTGTATCGATGGTGGCATTGGATGCAGGGTTTGGTGTACCAACACCTAAATTGAATGTTCCATCTGTATTTAAGGTGAGTGGTCACTAGTGTGACGTTACTGTACTTTGACTTACAATATCCAATTTACATTGATAGATAGGAGTTTTACTTAACCGTAATGGAAACTTTAAAATAGCAAAGGAAGAAGCATCTTGTAAAGGCCTAATTTAAGTCATGTATGAGGTTTTAAAGCTTGGAAGATTACACAATTTTTCTATTAAAATACAGTTAGACCTATTTGATAAAATGGTCGTTCCCGCTCTTTTGTACGGTTGCGAAATATGGGGAACAGGTAACAACGATATCATTGAAAGGGTTCACTTAAAGTTTTGTAAGATGCTTTTACAACTTAAATCATCAACACCGTCTTTTGTGGTATATAGCGATCTTAGAAGGTTTCCTCTCGAAATACAAATAAAAACAAGAATTTTATTATTTTGGACAAAATTAAGAAAGACGGGGTAAATGTTTGAAACTGTCCTCTATAGCATAATAATTTAATTTTGGATGTAACGCGTCTTCCGATTGGCTGACGTTGTTTTGTTTATCAGCTCATAGACATAATTTTTTCTGTCTATTCGAAATAACATAAAAACTGTGGTGCACACTTTTTAATAATTGTGGATTGTTCTCTGTACCATTCAACTGTATATAGTTTGTTGAGAAAAAAGATATAGATCGCGAATGAAAATGTAAACGTAATATGTAAATGTTATTCTGTTATGTAAATGAGGATTCTAACGATAAGAAATCATTCAAATTACAAACAATCAAAATGTCGAGGTTTTGAGCGTTTCTTATACGAAGGTAATTTTAGAAAATTGCTACGTAAACACGAAATTTTCACAGATTTTTTTATCACCTATAAAAACATTGACAGGGAATATGAGCCTTTAGCCTCTGATGACACAGAGTAACGTTATTGTCCTACCAAACTTAAGGAAGTTCGCTTGTCATATTTTTGGAATTTTTGTCAGATTTTCGGAATCCTCTGGTTTTATCTATTTGAATGCCTTAAAAAATTTTGCCCATTGACCCCCATTTTTCTTTTTAAAAATCTTTTACATGCATAATTATAAGCCATCTGTAAAAGTCTTATAAAATCTTAATTATTTTTTAACAGTTTTTGAGAACTTTAACTTGTCATTGATATAGATATGAAAAATCAAGAGAGGATATTTTCCCGCCAATATTTCAATGGCTAATATCTCGAAAACAAGCACACTGACCTATATTTTATTTTTGCTCTTTTTGTTCCTTTATTAATCCCCTATCAATATATACTAGTGTTATGGAAAGCTTGTTATTTTGAAACTGAGTAGCGAACTTCCTTAATTAAGCAGGATCTGAAAGTACTTTGTTTTACTTTCAGTTGTTAGGGTTAGGGTTAGGGTAAGATAAGCGTGGACATACCATCTTTCGTTCAATCAGACTGACTTAAAAAAGAATACAACACAATCTCATGAAATTCTATATATATATAAAAAACTGCACTTTAAATCATATCTGTTTCTCATGTAAATTTTTAATCTATAGAACATAGAAGTATTTGCACGTTTTGGATGGGGTTTACACATTAGAGTATAATAGGCAAAATCAACAGAAAAATAGGCAAAAAAAAAGGAGAAAAATAGGGCAAAAAATAAAGAATATAGAATACTGTGCAAATTTAATGAAGGTTAGAGAAAAATGACATAAAAAAAGAATACAGAACTAAAGAACCTCCACCCAGACCCTCATGTGTATATTATAATTTACAGCCTACAAAGCCTGGAAGAGGATGGTTTATAAACCCTATCAGTGATAAGAATCCATGGTGGTTAATCTTGGTGACGGCATTACCCGCCCTTCTGACAACAATCTTGATCTTTATGGATCAACAGATCACATCCGTGATTGTCAATAGAAAAGAAAATAAGCTCAAGGTACTATCAATACATTGTAAAAAGAGTCAATTAAAACGTGTTATTTTACTTTATGCAAAAACAAAGGCATCTTAATCTCCATCATTAAATTTTTTGATAAACTCAGTAGCAAGCATAAATATGACGACATTCTTGATCTTTATGGATCAACAAATATCATCCATAAGCTCAAGTTAGCGTAACTATTAGATATATTATTAAAAGAGCACAAATAGAAAGTGTTTTTTTATTTACTAAATGCAAAAACAATGTATTTTAAGGATGTTTGCTCCTCTTGTTTTTGAATTTTTGCCAGATATTCGGAATCCTCTGGTTTTATCCACTAACTCCAACTTTTCTTTTCATAATTTTATTACATGTAGTTTCAAAAGCCATATTTGAAAAATCTCATAAAATCCTTGTTATTTTTTCGTAGTTTTTTTGAAAGAAAAAAGGTGCCAATGTTAAATGTACGAAACATCTAGAGAGAATCACTTCACGCCAAATTTTCAATGGCTTATTTATCTCGTAAACAATCACACCCATTAAATTGTTCTGCTTTTTAAGTTCCTTTATTCAAATGCTTTCGATTTATAACTTTTAAAAAGCTTGTTATTATGAAACAGAATAAAGAACATCCTTAATTTTCCATCAGTTCAATTGGAAACTATTTGGATGATTCCGCTACTCAGTGATCAGGCATTCCGTCTTTCTGAAATCCAACAGTTGTTCAGACTGTACGTCCGTCATGTCTATACATTTAGAGCTGGAGCTGAATGTTTGGTCTATCAATTTATAATGGTACTATGTATTTCAGTATAAATAAATAAAAAACTACTATTTACGGAATTATAGACTTCTGATTTAGAAAATTGTACTTTACAGCAGGTGAGGAACCATCTCGACACATCCGGTTTAGAATATTCTCTTAAGACGCATTTGATGGATATCAAACTACTTGCATTTAAAGAGACAACTTAGCAAAACGCATTAGATACGCCAGGCTGACATATATTTATATTATTTCTTTTAACATTCTAAAATCATTGTTGTTTACCAATTTTTATTTCTGTGCTCATCATACGTTTATTTCAGATTTCGTTTCACCTAGCGCATGTTTTTTTTTTAACAAAGACTAATTACTTAACATAAATAGGTATTGCATATAGATCTATAAAAATCTTACAGAAAGGAGGTGGATACCATTTGGACATGCTAGTAGTAGCAGTACTAATTGTGATGTTATCATTTCTTGGGCTACCATGGTATGTTGCAGCAACGGTCTCGGCAATGGCTCACGTGATGAGTTTAAGGAAGGAGTCCGAATGTACAGCACCAGGAGAGAAACCAACATTCCTTGGAGTTAGGTAAAATTTGGGAATAAATTGATTTAAAATAAGCATACAATGTACCCGTCTAATTACCACGTAAAACCTACTGGGGGGGGGGGGGGGGGGGGGGGGGGGGGGGAGACTCATTAGAATTGGGTAGAAAAACCTTTTAAAGTTACTGTGGATTGATTCATTTTCGTGGGTACCAATTTCCGTTGATTGAAGAAAATATGATTTCATTTAAGAATTGAATGCTTCTTTTTGTAAGTTTATTGGGGGTAAAAGCGTTGATCGAAGTACATTTTGTATGAAGCGCGGACGCGGAAGCGCTTCATTCTAAACATGTGCGCACGGTCAACGCTTTTACAACCCTATAAAATTACAAAAAGAAGCATTCAATACTTATAATTACATTTTTTTGCTAGGGTCATGAAAACACGATTTATATCAAGTTTTTCTTTATTTGCCTGTGCACTTTATTGGGAAGCTCGTGTCATCATGAATGTTACATTTCATTTTGAAATGAAGGTTAATTTCAGAATGACGCGAGATTGCTGTTAGCAAATCAAAATAACGTATTATAATGAAACATACATGTAATGTAATTATTGATATTTGACTTCGTGGTTTTACCAAGGTCTAGATAAACGCTTATAGATAATTTGTACTTCGCTGAACAATTAAATTCGTGATTCGACTATACCCACGAAATCCACGAAAGGTAATGAATCAACAGTTTAAAAAAAACTTGAAGATGTACCGAAAGTCATTAACCTTTCATTAATATAGAAAAGGAAACCACCGTTCGTCAAATCAAATTACATTGAAAAAAATGTGAACTTGTGTGCCCTGGAAGGGTAGGTAAATATCGTTTCTGCTCCGCTCGTGACAACCGTCGTGTTTCTTTTGTTAAAACTCATTGAGTCAAAACTGATGAGACACTATACAATTATAGTGTATAAATACATTTCTGTTGTCGAACTGTGAGACACTTCCAATTTTAAAAACAATCAGTATATATGAATAATCCAATCCATATTATTGACTGTATCAGAAAGTTTGAAATGAAAACATGATTGATTGATTGATTGATTGGTGTTTAACGCCACTTTCAATACTATTGTGCTATTTCGTGGCGGTCAGTTCTTATTGGTGGAGGAAGCCGGAGTGCCCGGAGAGAACTACCGACCTTTGGTAGGAAAACTGAAAATCCTAGTCAGTAAATGAAAACATGATATGAATATTTGAGACCACTAAATATAGAAACAGCACGACAGTGAAACATATCATAGAATATAACTCTCAAAACTAAATCAAATGTTTGTTATTTTTGACTTCTAAAAGTTTCGGTCTCACAAGTTTATAAAACCAGATGGAATTCTCAAGATTATGTCAAATTATTTCCCATACATTTAGATTTCAACTTTCCTGTTGAAAAATGTATAGAGATAATGTACTGATGTTTGTTTAGAAATCAGGTCGAGGTTCAAAAAGACAAATGTTGATGTAAACAACAGAGGGATATGATCTAAGGGACATAACTAAAAAAACATTTCGAATTGACAAGATATTCTATTGTTAGCACTATTTTATACTTAAAAAAAAACCGCCATGTTTTGTAGAGAGCAGCGGGTAACAGCATTATTGGTTGGTGTGTTTAGTGGATTGGCCGTTTTGATAACATCAATATTAAAGGTAACATTAAAAACATATTAGCTGCCACTGCGTTGAGGTTATAAATTATTATTCGTTACAGTCGATGCAAGTGTTACATTGACGGATCCAGGGGGTCCAGGGGTTGGGACCTCCCCCTTTTTTTCTTCTTTTTCTTCTTTTAAATTCATGTGAACGTTTCATCATGGTATTCCCGGGGTCGGGACCTCCCCCTCTTCAAACTGGCTGGAACCGCACCTTTGTTAGTAAAACAAAATTATCTAATATTGTGTGTGCTAATGGTCCTTGTATCAAAAGAGCATGAACCATCAATACCAGTAATGCAATGGCGAAGTTTAAGTCTACCGTATCTCAACATTGACCACCCTCATTAAAATAGATTGCAAATGATTAAACATTGTGTATTGGTATTGTAATACAGGCACTGATCCAGTCATTTTGAAAGTGGTGAGGTTCGAACCTCCAAAACACCATGAAACGTTCACAGAATTAAAATCAAAGTACTGAAGTACTGAACATCGGATGACCGCAGGTTCTTGTGTATGGTCAAAAGCACATGTCACAGAAACAGATCACATCTCTATACCTGAAACTGAGGTTAATTTACAGAGATTTTTTTTTCTGATACAAGTTCCTGCTTGGATGATGAATAAATGACAGGAAATTCAACCTCACCGTAATAACTATTATATTGTAGTGATACAAATCAGTATACCTTAGACTATTATACTAATATAATAATAGTTCCAGAGAATACACTGGTTTGTTGTTATATATTATATTAATATTACGGTTGCATGTATATATAATTTTCATCTATTTGTATATCATTCTATTCTACTATCATTATAGTGCAGTGCAAGTGCATGGTGGACACTCTTCTGTAAAAAAAATCAAAGCCTTAAAGGCTGTAAAAGCAATTGCTGCCATGTTAATGCTTTGTGGACTTTTATTTTTCATCCATATATATAAGAATTAAACCTGACAGGACAAGAGTGTTGACTAGTGAGAAGCAAGACGGTTTTAACTTTATATCAATAAAAGACTTTAGCAGGAAATCATTTTAAATATGTTTTATATTTCACAAGGAGACAACAAGTTTACCAGGCTAAAGTTGGGGTTAATTATACATGTGCTGAAACATATAACTAAAAAAAATCAATATGGATTGTCCCCTGGTAGTGTTTGTAACTGGGCAATAATTTCCTTTATTGATTTAATTTTAACAATTTTCATAATTAATTTAAATTAACCATTCAGTTAAAACATTTCAACTTTCCAGACGCAAATGTTGAAAAACGGGCAAGAAATAAAATATCTTACAAGACATAAATATGTAAAAAATAAAAATATATTTCAGCTTACTAAAATATTTTCATAATGTTACTTTGACATCATTTCTTAAAACTAAGTCCCAAACATAATTGCTCAGTTGATATGTGTCATCCTCATGCGATACGAGATAACTATAATTCTGATGCAATCCCGAAAAGGGGGGTCATCACAAACAAACATGACATTAAATTGTCATTATACGAACTAGAACAAACAGCTCTATGTTGCTTTGATATTTATCAATTTTCAGGAAACATGTGAAATAAATTTCAGGTCCATTTCATTATAGTGCCTAACAAGATTGTGTGAGGTAGACGAAATTGACCTTAAAACGATCGTATTGTCTTTTGATGTCCAAAAATAGGCAGATCGGACATATAAGGACTTTATCTAATGACTACATAAATTTGGGATTTATTATTATTATAATATTCTAATGAAACTGAAAATTGTATTTTTTTGTTAGGATAAACAACAATTTTACCTGGCGTAGCCGTGCATAAAATGTTTTTCTGCGAAAAATGGCGTATTTAATGGAATAGAACGTTAATACAGTAAACTTTCTCTTTTTTCTCCGCAATAGGCTATCAAAAATAATTTATCTAATGTGTATGTGGAAAATTATGTGAAAAGATAAAAAGTGGCAATTGTTACCTTTCATACCTATTCATATGCCGCTATTATTGTTGTTGTTACCAATTATGTAAATCAATTGTATCTGATTTTATGCCCTTTGTTGGCCCTGTAATTTGGAAAATACAAAAAAAAATCTATTCATTGATAAAACGCAATATGGACTGGTCCAGTGTCCAGTTTGCAGGTCATTTAATTTACTTTACACATTCATGCACGCTCTGATTTAATCGATATACTCGTACGAAAAAGCATGAACAGTTTGAAGGTAATCTAGTAAAAACTTAATCCAATCAAATTGCATAAGATTCAATAACAATGTCCAGTCCACATCATAATGAGTAATAGGGGTAAACTTGGTAGGGAGAAAATGACAGATATTTCAAGTTAATATTTATGCAATAACGAATTAAAATTTGTCAACCAAAAGTTTTGCTACAATTTCAAAAACATGTCGTTCTGTATGGGTAACTATATATATATAGTTTTCGGATCTTTCATTAGCGTATTTAAGGCTATAAAAAGTTTGGGCTTCAAAAGTTCACACAATCATTGACTTTATACAGAAAATTCGTCCTTGTAAAACATTTAATAGTTCACAAATGATACGCGATTTTAAAGTAAAATTATTTCTTAAAACACTGCAAAAAATTTCATTCATATTGATAAAGTGGTATCGTCATAAAGTGCGTTGAAATGAACAGTGGTATAGCAAACATCGAATTTCCTCACAAAATGTTATCACACACTTTAGTAAGGGGAGTCAGTTAAGTTTGTTTATTTTTAGATTACAGGTAATCATTTGACATTACGTATACAACCTGTGTGACCTGTGTAGTGATTTTGATTTTACGATTAATTCATGAATGAATGAACGATAATTTTATGAATGAACATGAGAACCTGACCTCTTTCTTAAACACCAATTAAACATATAAAACCGTATTTAAAAGGAGATATTTCAGTCAAATTTTCAGTACTAAATCAACAACTGAAATGATTCCATTTTTTGATGAAACATCGTACGAACGGAAAACGGAATCGCAGGTATAAAAATGCACTTTTTTCCCTTGTAATGACCGCGGATCTATAATTTTTATAGATCGGTTGAAATCCCAAAACTAATTTGCATAATGGAAATTTAGGCGATAGCAATACATCGGAATGACCTGAAGGTCATCCTCTGTAAAAAATAGAATGAAAAAACAGAGTTTCAGCCCCAGTAACCCCCTGGATCCACCAATGTAATAGGATCTCATATGTGAACGGTAAAACGGAAGTGGTAGAAATAACAGATTGAGTGTTATAGCTGAAGTTGAGCCACTTTCAGGTTAAGCTATGGTGCATTGTTTTCTGTAAAAAAATCAATATATATGCTGCAAGGGAAATAGTAGATATTAAAATGCTATTTTATTTTATGTCACCTAATTTACAAGAATATGGTTTTAAACTAAGGGTCGATCAGTATATATAAATATAGTTACTTAGAGTAGGCGTAACTGTCTGCGAGCAAAACCCATGCTAACGGCGGCCGTTTGCATTGGTTGTGATGGATGCATAAATACGTAGTCACGTTCGATCGGAGAAGGGCCGTTAGATGTGATGCCTATTGTAGGAAGAATTCCACACTTTCTGTACGTTAAGGATTCATTGCAACAAATAAAACCCATATCATGAATATCGTACATATTGTACATTCACAATTCTCTTACCGCCTATACATTTCTGGGAATATCATTGGTTAAAAACGACCGAATGAAGTCCCTGTATACTTAATATGGGGTTAGTAGAAAGTTAAATAACATTTTTTTTTATTTCTTCGGACTACATCCTTAAACGTAAATTGCAAAGTTATGTATCAATTTATACCCTATCCGGTCAGTTAAAATATATTCATTAATAATCATTGAAATATTACACTTTCAGTATATTCCTATGCCAGTTCTCTACGGCGTATTTTTTTACATGGGAGTTGCTTCACTCAAAGGAATGCAGGTAATTTGCAATAATAATTTATTGATATTCCGTATCAACTTCTAATCACAAATAATACGTGATGTTATTGACGTATAGATTTTAGGTACTGACGTTGTTGCAGATTCATTTGTACGAATTGTTTTTCCTGATTTGGAATCGAACAGACCCTTGAACAAAAGGCCATATCATCCATTATTTTAGCACTTTCCCCTTTTAATCTTAGTTATACAATGTTCAGCATAAAAGAACATACAATAAAAACCAGTTAAGGAAACAAACAGAGCACAGGTACAAGTAAAGTGACGAGACCCATGTTTGTTTAAGTCAGCTTAAACCACGTATATTTAAAAGACATTCATGGTGTGAGGGTCGGATGGGGTGAGGGTCCTTTATTTCATTTTTAAATTTTTTTTAACCATTTTCTCTATTCTTTGTTTATTTTGCCTATTATTCTCTAGTCTTTAAATCTTAGGGAGCTACCATTTAATTTTTATGGGGGGGGGGGGGGGGGGGGGGCTAGGATGAAATTTGAAAAAAAATAGGCAGGACAGGAGTTTTGAGTAAAAAAAAGGCAGGATGAGAAACCTGCAAAAAAAAGTCAGGATGACAATTTAGGTAAAACTTTAAAAAAAAGGGCAGGACCGAACAGAGTGAAAAATAAAAAGGCAGGACAGAATTTTTTATCCTAGCCCCCCCCCCCCCCCCATAAAAATCAAATGGTAGCTCCCTTAGAACCCCATCTTCCCCTGATCTGTAAACCCTATCCAGACACTCATGTTATAAGTTTGCCTATACACATTTCTTTTGGAACCCTGTTAAAAATGAAAATAAATATATGATGCAAATTTGATTTTCTTATTTATTATGTGCATTATTTTTGTAGCTAAAAGATAGATTTCTTCTCTTGATAACGCCACAAAAATATCAACCGGACTATAAATATCTCCGTCATGTGCCACTCCAGAAAGTTCATATATTTACCGGTATACAGTGCGGATGTTTAGGTATACTCTGGATTGTTAAGAGTGTCAAGGAAATATCAATAGGATTTCCCATAATGGTAAGTACTATTAGCGAGAACCGAACATTACTTCCGGTTCAAATTTGAAGGTCGTTTACTATTTCCGTCTGTTCCGAATCCAGACGTTAATCGAACGAATTGGAACCGGATGTATCTCACTGCTGATGAACTCGGCCTAAAACAAGCTCGGCGCCCCAGAGCTCCAGATAAGCTGCATATTTGCGTGATCACGCAATAAAAACAATTGAAAACCCAATGCAATTGACGATTGCAGCGTTCAAAAACCCAATTCATGCAAAAGAAAACCCAATTATATGTCAAAATCATGCGGTCTCAACCCTTCTAGTCGTTTTTGTGTGCTTTTTTTTTTTACCTTTATCTGTACATTATCGTCGAGTAAATCTATTTCCGTAATATTTATAATTGGAAATATCCTGTCGTTTTACAAATAGAGCGTTACATCATGCAAATAGTTGATCTGGGTCCCTGTTGGAATTGTCCATTGCTCAAAAAGTTAAACGTGCTGATGTAAACAGGTTTTTATCAGGAAGCGTTCCTCGGACACACGGGTTCATGCAAAGGCGCGTCCAGACAGAAAACCATGCGTCCAGGGCGAGAATACGCGCCTTAACGAGAATATTGTTAGTACGACAAACACGGGTTTCGTCTCCATATGACTAATCAGTGATGCAGGAATAGTGAAAGGCCTATTCTATTATATACAATGTAGTTAAAAAGCATTGGAAATCAAAAATTCTAATATAGGACAACTAATGATCAGATAATTTCATGTAAATAAAGTTAAACGGAAACATTCAAGTATTATTTTAGTTTTAAATGAGTGTTTTTCTATCCAACTGGGAACTATTTATTATTTTAAAAAAAAGTAAGTGTGGCGAACAGTTGATAGGACTGGCAAAACTGTCTCACAAGATCTAATGTTCACAAGTACTACATACAAATCTAAAAACTTAGCCACACCTACCCCAAATAAACCGAAGGGTGATCGGAAGTGCTCTAGAAAAGTAATCAGTTACTGTCCAACCAGTGACACCAGTTTATATATTAAGTTGAGAGAAAATACAAAACAGTCAAACGGTTGAAACAATTCAGGCACAAATTAAACGAACAATTGCTTATCAGGGAATAAACCAAATAAAACAGCTATCACATATAATGAAAGAAACATATTAAAGATGGATGAACATCTCGGTTTGATATAATTTCATTAAAACATGCCTAAATTCAATATCTTGATGATGAAAAACCCAATACAATAAGGAGCATGGTAGTGAAAACCCCAATTTGATATTTGCTGGAGGGGTGAATTGGATTTAATAATGCAATTGAAAAAACTATTTCACTCAATTACATAAAAATGGTGGGTAAAAACCCCAATTTGTGAATTCTTATCTGATCTGCTCGGCCTATAGCAAACTCGGACCATAACAAACTCGTCCTACCATAACAACTAGCTCGGCCTGTGAATTTTAGGTTGTGTTTTTTTATTGTTTACTCTTTTATTTTATTTAATTAATAACAATACATACGAATTTACGAGATAATAATTAGCATTTTCGAGAGGCAAAACTTAATTGCAACTGCATGGCTTCACTTTTCCGTCGACGAGGGGTTTTTTAACGACCTTGACTACCCATGAGGGCCTTGCACGGTCTGTATCTTTCCGTAGGCTGCATCTATTGACCTTTCCGAACAAAACATGACATTTTTTTAGTGTCCAAATAAAAAATTCTGACTTCAAAGTCGTCATAATTATCATTATACGAAAAAGACATCGGACGGCCACGATAACGTGTTAGTCTGACAGAAAAAGACACTTTAATTGCATATTTCACTTAAAATCAGGCTTTTAGGATCAAATACGTTGATATATATAATAAGAATCATATGACTGTATAGTTTTACTATACAAATCCTTGATTGAACTGATTATCAATTTGCATTTTTTATTTCACTGAAAGCTATGATTACTGTATCTCTACCATTGAGTTCCCTTCTCCGTCATTTTGAATTCTGTCTGCCCCTAATATTTTTCGGCACACTTGGAACGCGTTCAAAACACAGTTCTGTATTGTTCTAATGAACTTCCGGTTTATTCCGTCTATTCCGATCGTCTGGAACTCGCAAACCGAGCGCACCCTGAATCATACCAATTCAGCAAAGATTAAAACTAGATGCGTCAACAAGATGGGCATATCTCCTTTTTCAAATATTAGACAAAGTTGAATATGACGACTTCTTCAAATTGTTTAACAATGTGATACATGTTTACGTCAGGTGAAATCATGAGGAGTCCTCAGACATCTTTCCCCTCCGCAAATTGTATAACAAAATGTGTGATAGGAAAAGGGTGAATAATAGAGAAGTAAAAAATAAATGTATCGGCTTGAACAGTGTCCAATTGTTTAACAATCATGTGATACGATTTAACGTCAGGTATAACACCGAGGAGTCCTCTTCTTCTTCTTTTTCTTCTTCTTCCAATAATTTGCATACCACCTCTGGTGTATTATCGCAAATGACTATTTACACATTGCCCACAGGAAACATCTTTCCAACACACTATGTACACAAATCCGGTTAAAAGCCATCGTGGTGTTATATACAATTAAAACTGAGATATCTAACATGAAGCAGGTGTCTGGAGGCTGTCTTTGAATCCTTCCAAAGTGGAAGCTGTGACGACAGCAGATGGTAGTTCATTCCACAGACGAATTGCAGATGGAAAAAATGATTGCTGGTGGTTTTGTATTCTATAGAAGGGTAGTAGGAATCCTCGAACGTCTTTCCCCTCAGTTATTTAAATGTTTGATATGACAATGTTTATGGTGTGTTTTATTCAGACCAATCGTCTTTCGCAGAATTATATGTCAATTTCAAAATGCCAATACAACGACTAGGCACGTGACCCACTAATAATACTACTTTATATTTATCGCACACCTTGTGAAAATTAGCAATCTTTACTTCATCGTGTTCTTTCATTATTTGTTTTCGTCTGATTTCATCTGAGCACAAGTCAATGATTTCAAACTGTGTGGGAATTAGTTTGTTGACATCAATCTTAGCTATGTGAAAAGTTTTTGATGTCTTCGTTTTGTTTGATTTCACAAGATTTGCAGCAAATTCCTTTACAATATCGACTGTCGTACACGTAGATATGTACTTTGAAGGATTTGATTGGAGACCACTGGTCACGTGATCAACAACGGATGTTTCTGATAGAAGCGATTTTGCTGTAATCGAATCTCCGTTTTGAATGAGACTGACTTCTTCATCTCTTAAAAGTCTAAAGAGTAAATTAGAGGTTATTGTTTTACTGATCAACTTTATACAATGTGGTGGTATAAAGCTGGCTATTGTGACTTCTTTAGACGTTTCAGTGATATCCTCAAATCTTCGGAATTTTGTATTTTCCGTATTTTTTATGCCTTCCTTTTGCAGATATGCGCGTCTCTTTTCCCTTGACGATAAATCAATAACTTCTACTTCCGAAGGTAAAGTACTCGTATCGATTTCTGCAATCTGTACATTCACAGCAGACGATTCTTTTGCCCTACTGTTTATGGCAAACGACATCACAGCCTCTAAACTATGGCACGTAGAGATGTACTTTGTTCCACCCCACCAGCTTGTACCCTGTTTAGAGGCTATGTGATCAATTAAAGAAACTGTGGACTGTGAATTCCTGGCGACTATACCCCCAGACACGTTCTCACCATCGCGTAGGAGTCTGTATAACAACATTTGTCTGAAAAATCAAGAAGTCGAAGATGGATTGATTGAATAATAGATTGTTTGTTTGCTTTACGCCAAGTGGTTAATATAATTTATGCCATGCATGTTCAGAAAGAGAATAAATTCAATTACATACAAAAGGGTAGGTCATATAAAAGGGTCGACCGGGATAAAGGACGGGAATTTGGATTGCCACTGGAAAATAATGGTATGCTAGTTAGGTGTAGACATGTTACCTTGCAGCTGGTCACCCTTATAGAGTTATTACAATGGTTATGTAACCTTCAGAGAGCGTAACACTCTTTCAATTCGAGGAAAAAGATTAACGTCCCAATTCTGACTGGAGATTACTGCGAAAATATACATTCCGCACAGCCGAACGGACACCCCACTTTGGCATGGGTTTTGCTGTCGGTCGGAGGAAGATCAGAAAGGACCATATTTGTATACATCAGTCACCCTTGGGGTCAGAAGTGAAAAGAGGAAAAACAACACCATGGCAAAGATGGAAATTGAAACCAAAACACAAACATGTGCCAACAGAACACCTAACATAAATATTAGAAATTAAATAACAAAAAAAAAAAGAAAAAAAAAAGAAAATTGGAACAATAAGGTGATCATGAGCTGTAATTTATCTATTCGAATCTGAATCGGGAGTCATTCATTTCTGTATTCTTCAATTTTTAGGTAATTTTTTTAGGGGTTGATTTTTTGGTAGATTTGGCTCATTCTTTATTCTGTAAACCCACGCCAAGACCTTCCTTCTGTACATAAAGGTAAAAGAGTTAAGGTTTAACTTCTATTTCTATGTATAAAAAAAAATTAATTTAAATCAAAATAATAAAATACCATATTTCCATATTTTATATAATCAAATGCTAGACTAAGTTGGTCTGTAAACAAATCTTATGTGTTGCCTGTACTTCCGTTTGAAGTCAACCGCCTTGGTGGTCTCGTGGTAGCGTGTTCGCCTTGGGTGCGGGAGTGCTGGGTCCAACCTAAGACTTTAAAATTGATATTTGATGCTTCTCCGCTAAGTACGCGACATTAAGGAGGGGAAGCAAAGACCTTTCAGCTAGGAATCAGAATAATGTCTCCGGGTAGAGTGCCATGTCTTTCAGTGGACTGTTATCTGGTGAACTAACACATTAAAAGTCCAGCTGATCGTTTTGATCTAGTACAAAGGAAGGTTGATATTCCTATAACATTAGCAAGCATGTTCTTGTCCTGAATATGCATTTATTTTGTCGCTGGACGTTAATCAGACATCCATCAACAATCTTCATTTGTTCGAAGTCGACCCTGCATTAGTTATAAGTTATATGTATGCAGTTTATCGAACTATATATCCTAGGTTAGGGGGAGGGTTGGGATCCCGCTAACATGTTTAACCCCGCCACATTCTGTATGTATATGCCTGTCCCAAGTCAGGAGCCTGTAATTCAGTGGTTGTCCTTTGTTTATGTGTTACATATTTGTTTTTCGTTCATTTTTTGTACATAAATTAGGCCGTTAAGTTTCTCGTTTGAATTGTTTTACATTGTCATTTCGGGGCCTTTTATAGCTGACTGTGCGGTATAGGCTTTGCTCATTGTTGAAGGTCGTACGGTGACCTATAGTTGTTAATTTCTGTGTCATTTGGTCTCTTGTGGAGAGTTGTCTCATTGGCAATCATACCACATCTTCTTTTTTGTATATACTAGTAACGACCAGTAACCTGATGACCATGTTTTGTTTGGTATTATTATGTATTGCATAAAGCAAATAAATATTGATTCAGATTTGCGTAATGTCAATAACAATCATCTTTGTACACAACTACATAAAATTATCTAAATGGTACATACACGAGAAAATATATCTACAATTATAACTACATGTACATTTTTGTAACTCACTTACCCTATAAAACGTTAAATAAATCAAACCGGGAGAAAACAAAACGTATTTACAATTGTAAATATCCGGCTTACCTTGTAAAATGCCAAATAAATCAAACAATTGAAACGAAACAAATAATTGCAGGTGATTTATGTAGTATGGAATTAACTGTTAAGGTTAAGGCTAATTACTATTCATAATAATAGATCAATACTCAAGGTATTTAAATCGAGGTTGTTCTCTTGAATGGGTAGTATAATGAACAACGTAATATACAAACCACCTCCATTGATTTATTTCTTCTTTTTATTCCTATCTATATCTTTGTAAATTTTTTCTTCAAAAAAAAAAAAAAAAAAAAGGATTCAAATGATTCAAAACTTTCTGATAATATTTTCCGAGTAATACACATCAATTATATGACAATGCAAATTTTAAAAATTTGTATCTACAAAAATCACATTTTCAACCGGAAAAAAAGAAAAATGTTTCCAAATTTAAAAAAATTGAAGTTGCGTGTATCTTTTGACTTTTATCTTCCAGATTCTTAATTTTTCTTATAGCCAGCCTAAAAATTAATAATTTCAGACTTTTGATTTTTGACTTTTTGGATGAAATCCCCAGTGTCGCCACAAAAGCAAAATTTCATTGTTAACAGAGATTAATTTGACGGTTATTCTTAAAATGTACAAGAGGTTTGCAAATTTGTAGGAAAACTAGAAATTTTGCAACTATACTATATTGAAGACGTGGTGCTTTATTTAGGTTGTTGAGTATACATGTAGTACTGATGTTTTTCGAATCTGTCTCATATTTATACTTCTGTAATTATAAGATATGGGTCGATATGACAGATAAAAATACACGATAGTAAATGTATGGGTTAATTTCTGTTAAAGCATTAAATATTTAATCAGGTATTGATCATCAAGCAAAACTTACTAAAGGTCAAGTTACAGTAAATGGGCTATGTCACAGATTTTGGTAAAATTTTGCATACAACTTTGGTTCGTTGAACTATAACTGAAAATTTTAAAAATATAATGCATCTATCTCTTTTATTTTCTGAAATATTACTGACTGAATTCATCAAAAAATTGATGAACATTTGTATAGAAAGCAAATAAAATATATTCATTAACTTTTTTGGCTATTATTCTCTATTCTGTAAACCTCCTCTAGACATCTAGACCTCGTATTAACTATATGAATTGTAAAATCGCAGACGAAATATTTCATTTGAATGATCCCATTACCGAAGTACTATGATAACGTGCGATTGGTATCATCGGGAACTGTCAGTCCTCCAATCAGCGCCTCATAATAGAGGTTTCTCAACATCTTACGAACGGACGAAACTCTACGAACGTATCGTTAAGGAGCAGTAATTTTGTTATAATAAAATCCACGATAAATGTCTACCGATAGTGCAGTGTGTTTAAAGAAAACAGTTAACAGTTGCATAGTCTTTTTGCCACCTTGCATTTTATTTTTGTGGTTTAACATCGGTGTTCCAATTTATTTTCTTTTGTTGAATGTTACGTATTCTTACGTTGGGTTTCGTTTGTTTACATGTCGAATATATGCGTTCGATTTATCTCCCTTGTCCATTTAAACAGAACATTGTCAGTTTGTAATGCAGTTAAAAAAATCCCCGCGTCTTGTTTGCATTTCATTTGATTGATGGTTGGGTGTTTAGCGTTCTGTTGCAAGTATTCCATGCTTGTCACGACGAGATTAGCGGTTTGTTAAAGGATTGAAAAGTGATTGATCATGATATGACACGAGTTTAGTATTTTTCATTTATTATATCCTGGCATAGGCGGATCCAGGGGTAGGGGGCCCACCTTTTGTGGGAAAAATTTGTTGATTATATAGGGAATCACTGTAGCATGACTGGAGGGGGCCCCCTCGTAGGTCAGTCAGCGGGCCCCCCTTATGAAAAGTTCTGGATCCGCCACTGTATTCACACATTCTTTATAAATATGGAACGAATAAAGGAGAGTGAGTTTGGGTAAATTCTGTCTCCTAGAATAAAGCACTCAACAGGAAAGTCTCAATGTGCACTAGGTCCAATTGGTCCGACTTGCTGTTAAATCATTTTTAGGGAATAAGTTACAGAAATATAAAGGTGCACTCGATCAATCGTAAAGTTATAAAGTTTTGTGTATTCTTGTTGAAAGTATGAGTGCTACAACACTAACAAAACTGATAGTTACATAGTTTTTAAAAGGTACATTTTCTGTAAATTCTATAATAAAAACCGAAGAAAAACATATACAGCATTCCATATAAACTCCACGAAAGCAAAAAAAAAAAACCCACAAAATAATTATATATATATACTAACAAAGAAAATAAGAGCTGCAATGAAAACAAAACAAACCAAAAAACCTAAATACATTACAGAACATCTTTTTAAAGTGTTATCTTTTTTTTTTTTGCTTTTTTTCAAATATTTACTTCAATGTTTCCCTTTAGTTATCTTCTTGACTTTATCAGTTTAGCTAGAATATAAATCAGTTATAATCATTTAAGGTCAAGAAGTGATCATTTGGATTTTAGAGTTGGGGCAACGAAGTTACCCCGGATCCGAGGATGTTTTTTTTTCAAATTATAAAAACTAGAGGCGTTCACGCGTAGATTAGTTTTAGCTCATGTTTGCGCCATAATTTATTGATCAATTAGATTTTCAACTGTTTTGATTAAACCGTAAATTGTATATCATTACGACTCAAAATGGTCTTACAAATTCCAAAATGTATATATTTTTTATGTAAAAGAAATTTCAAGGGGAAGAAGATCACAACCGATAGTCCAAAATTATTGAATAAATTACTGCTCCCTCTTTTTTCGTTACGGCAAGTTACGTCAAGTTAGGTCAATTTTCGTTCGTTCGTAAGATGTTGAGAAACCTCTATTATGCATCATGTGCACGCATCGAGAAAAATCTTTCTTTATCTTTTTCTTCATACATTAACATTTACCTATGGAAAGCCAACGGGGTCAAAATTCTTAATTCGTAAATTGTCAATTTGTAACTTGTAACTGTGTAATTTCTAAATTCTTAATTCGTAAATAGTCAATTTGTAACTTGTAACTGTGCAGTTTCAAAATTCATATATTGAAAATCTGTATTTGCAACTTTGAAATGCAACATTTGTAACTGTGAGATTCCTTTATTTGCGACTTTGTAATTCATTAAATCTAACATTTGTATACTTTTTCTTATTTTGCCATGATTTTTCATTTGTAACCACGTCACTGAACATACGAATGTTAGATTTAATGAATTACATAGTCGCAAATAAAGAATCTCACAGTTACAAATGTTGAAGTTCAAAAATGCAAATACAGATTTTGAATATACGAATTTTGAAACTACACAGTTACAAGTGGCAAAAAGACAATTTACGAATTAAGAATTTTGAAATTACACAGATACAAGTTACAAAATGACAATTTACGAATTAAGAGAATTTTGAAATTACACAGTTACAAGTTACAAATTGACAATTTACGAATTGAGAATTTTGACCCCGTTGGCTTTCCATATTTACCAGAGTCGTTTAATTTTACTCAGTACTTGGAGTACAGAATTTGTGCTCAAAACATCAAATCCAGTATTTTGATTGGGTTGATTTTTGAGTGGGAGTACTATACTCGTGCTCGAACTTTTTATGACCGAAGTCATAAACGTTTTGAGTACGATTATAGATTTTTCGAGCACATATTTGTAATCATACCTGCCAACTTTTGAAAGTCCCCATGGGGGTTTTAGTGCGCGACAACAATTCTTTGCGACAAATTTTGCACGTGCTGCTTTGTGGTCTAGAAAAAGTGTCATATTTGTATGACGAGCTTACAAGCCGTTTTCTTAAGTTAATTAGCATGATTCAGTTATTATTAATATATCAGTAGGAAAGATGAATCTGTAGCTAGAAGACCAGGATTTATTTTCTTGTGTTAGGATATTAAATGATTGTTGACGTTTAAAATTTAAAATTATGCACAAAGAAAGACTTTATCAGGTTGGGAACAACACCCCAAATGAGGGGTAACCCCTCAATGTAAGGACATTAAAAACCAATTTTAAGTACAAAAGAGCACATATCTATATTATTTGAAGAAACTTTTCCTAAAGAATTATACATCTATCTGGTATTATACATGTATGGTCAAAACATGTCCAAGAATTTTGTAATGTTCCTGGATTTTTATTGGACCCCTCATTTAGAAAAGACTTTAAAGTTGTTCCAAATATAATGAATTTTCCTACTTTTAAGTTAAAAAATCTAAATTTTTCTTTTTTACCCCTTGATTTAATGTCTTGGGGACAGTCCCTCATTTAAGGGATATACCCCTCATTTGGGGGTTTGTTCCAAACCTGTTTGTTTGGTCCTTGTAAAAAATGAAGTACAAAATGTATAGTACATTGTACTTTAAATGATTTGCACCATTTGGTAATTTAATTGAATACAAAAATGAGATATGTTACAGCAAGTGTAATGTCAATAAATTAGTGAATAAACTACTATTTATTATCTTTATGGTAGTACTGCATCATTGAATTTTGTCAATCAGCCATGCTTTTATTCTTAAGCTGTTTAAGAACCTCCTTGCAGATGAAAATTAACCTTCTATGTTCACGATTTTACAATTCTGACTAACACACAGAGGAGTACAACACAAGTTCAAAATCTAGCATGTTAGAATATTCTTAAGAGAAAACGTTTTTGATTGGCTTATTAATTTGATCATGAGAAACACAGAATTTGATTGGCTGATCATGATTGTCTTCCCTTGGGAACAGTTCAAATTCGGGAACAATCATATTTTTCATGTAAATTTTCACAAAATCGTGTTTTAGTTTTTTTTTCACGATCACGATCGTGCAATCGTGACAAAGGGTCAAAATCGTGTAGTACACGCCTAAATCGTGAAAGTTGGCAGGTATGTGTAATCCGAGTACAGAGCAAAGTTTTATGACTGCAAGACCTATTTTGTTTTACACTAGAAGATGCCCGCGAAATCGCGGTACAATTGGGCAAGTGTTGAAACAAAGAGTGTGGACACAGTAATAAGGTCGACACAGTAAGGATTTGGACACGGTTAATGCATTTAATTCTATTTCTTTAAAGAGATGAAAATGAGGAATATAATGCAAAAGACCCTATTCATCTTGGTTGGAAAATAAAATATTAAATACCCTAAGAAAAGTGTGGCAAAGTGTGATTTTCAGTAGTGTTTTACCCTTTTAACTCAATAACCGTATGAGCTACGTAAAATCTGTTGACATTACTGAAAGAGATCGAAATGAGTAACACAATGGAAAAAATCCCATCTAAATCGGATGAAAAATAAAATCTTAAACACTTCATCAGGAATCAACCCCTCTTGTATCTCAGAAACCGTCAAGACGCCACTCCAAATCTGTTGACATAATCAAGTTGCCGAATCTTATTAGCAATAAAAGAAAAAGCAAACTCCATTAAAATACGTTGAAAATAAACAATCGGTATAATTATGCAAATATGTGAACAACACCCAAACTGGCCCGTCGACTGAGCATGCGCGAAAGCATATAAGACACGGATCGATAACGGTCGCCGAATTTGGATATTTTCTCAAAAAATGGCGTTTTCTGTGGAAAAAAGATTGTTTCAAAGACAAATTAAGGAAGTACAAAACACTACATTTACTACGTCATATCACAAATATTTCCGACTTTGTATGGTTTCAGAGGAGTTGCGGCTCAGTGAAATCGGTCTCTTCCTTTAGTAGTATAGATGTCAGTCACAAACAAGTATATTGTGCTTATCAAGGTACGTTTAAAATTGCCATAGAATTATGAAACTATTAAAATATACTATTTGTTTTCTCTTTGAAGATATTGTATCGCATACAAAATGTGAGATTAATTAAGATGTTTTCTTTTTCATTCTTAAGGTACTCGGAACATGTTTCATTAGGAAAGGTCTGGAGCTGATATTTAATAATCATGACTTGAAGTGGCTGGACGATTTGCTTCCTGGTAAACAGTTATTTCGAAAAGACAGCGAAAAGGTACATATAACGATGGCCTATGAAACATTTTTGTTAATTTGCTTAGACAATAGAAAAGGGGAATGTGTCAAAGAGACACTCACCAAACTCAGAAAACAGTCCAAGACCACCGATGGGTCTTCAACAAAGAGAGAAAATATTGCATCCAGAGGGGGCCTTCAGCTGGCCCCTAACAACAATGTATTCTAGTTCAGCGAATGGATGCAACATAAACTCCGAAACATACAAATAAACCAAAATAAAAAAACGGGAGTTTATTTCGACACCATTTTAACAATAAAGATTCTCTGTAGAAACTGAAAGCCTGAAGAAATACCACAAATGGTCGTAGTCAAAATGTTGTACCCTTTTCCTCGATTTTGTCATACCGAATGCAATACAATACTACAATACAAGTTGTTGTATTGTCAATTATGATGCCCAATTTTGAGCAGTTTTTTGGGAACATTTTGTTCTTTGACAATGATTCCATAGTGATTAAATTGGAACTTTAAGTAAAGATGTATAAGGTCTTAGTGAATGATAACGAATAGGCTCTTATTATTAAGTGGTAATCGCTATAAAAAGAGATATAAGTACATATTAGAGACAGCAACCCGGCGACACAAATATTTAAAAGACATCGAGAGGGCAAGATACAGCGACGACGATGAGAGTGTTTAACGACTTTGACTTGCTATAAAGCCCTCGCACGATCGGTTACTAACATACAGCTGTCTTCCACAAAAAAAAACATTTTTTTGTACAAAATGTGAAGGTCCTTATTATTTGTCCAGAATCTTTAAACGTTTCGAAGATATTTAACAGAAATTTTAAAAAATCCGCAATAAAAAATAAACTCTTCAAATAACAGGAAAAAGTGTTTTGGTATAAGACAGGCATATGAACATGTGTCGATGGTAGACTATTTTTTGAGAACTCAACTCTCCATTTAATACCCATAGTGAAGTATCTAAAGCGCTTGCAATTTTATTCGCTTTCAGATAAATTCTGGTGGTAAATATGATTCTCTTTTGAAATCTGCTTCAAAATTGCTGATTGCGTTTATAAGTCGCTGCCAAGTCTAATTGTTGTTATGAAATAATGTTGATGTAGCTTGATTTTTATGTACTGCCCTTGCAAAACGTTAAACAAAAGCTGTCACTTAACTAATGATATTGACCTTGAAGTTAGATATTGGCTGTTTCTCGTCAAAGTCTCTGTTATGTTATTGGGTCAATACATTATTTAGCTAGACCGATTTTTACAGTGGTAGAAAGTAGTACGAAAATGATCCATAGGTGATAGTTATTTGTATGAGATCAATTCATCAACCATCTTATTGTCCGTAAGTCTCTCAAATCGCAAAGAAGGATACAAAACGAAGACGCGACTTACAGATCATAGAAATAACTCTGGTTCACTTGAATGCTTATATATAAAGTACTGATGAATCTGACGTTTGATATTTTACTTTTTACAAAAGTATTGCTGATGTCATTTACCCTAACCGAGGTTACACCCATAAATATTTTAACATATATAAAGGTACACAATAATAATATACCAAATTTATCTTACTATGCTATAAAAACTGATTGAAGTTGTAAATACAGCATTTAAGGATGTACTTAGGTGGAATTAAAAAAATCTAGAAATTAAAATTGATACTATAAGTCAGAAGAGCATTAGTTAGGGATCAAAATAAGCTAAAAATATTGATAGGTTATGGAGCTCCTTTTCGAGATTTTTTTTTTTTTTAAATGGCGGGAAAAGGCTGACTCGGACTTTTACCTTATATTTGCATTGGTATTATTTGGGTCTCAAATCGAAAGAAAAGAAATCTAGAATATGCTTAAATTTTGGTAACTGATTATTTATGAGCTATTGAATTCTTATATGAAAAGAAAAATGGGTGTTCCGGGGCAAAATATTTTACCCTGTATTATAGGAAAAAACTAAGGAGTCCGAACATCTGACAAAAATTCCTAAACCTGACCTAAGTACATCTAAGAAGAGGACTAGTAAGAACTAACACAACGTAGAGCGGAAGCAAACCGTTGATCATGAAACCTATACGATATTTTGAAGGTTTAATTATCAATTTTGGTATTGCAAATCAAATACAAAGACAATTGTGTTTCCTATGTGTGGCAGAGAAATTCGCTCTTTCCGACCAGCTGAAAAAGGATATCAAATTGATATCGATGAGTCATTTCATTTTGTCTGTTGTATTCAGCTTTTGTTTAACTTTCTACAAGCTTGTGTTGTTTTATCTGTTTCCTTAGCTTATTTTGCGACTGCAATCAATTTTTGCTCTCTGAAATTGTATTGCGCATACTCGACAATTGACTTCCGGATCATAAACACTATCTTGCAAAAATGAGGTCAGAAGAAAGTTAAAAACAACTGGTGTAAGTAGTTTCGAAGCAAAATGTGCTCATACCTTGCAATCTTATCTGTTGTGGACATTTGTTGTATAAATAGAAGATTGCCCCAAAAATGACCAAATTAAAGTTCTTTTCTACTGGAATGACTTGTAAAAATGTACTTTCTGCTAAAAATTAAAGCTAGCGGCGCGTCAACAAAAAAATACAACCAACCTTCAGATACAGAGGATGACAAATGGTCGAACGCAATCATACAAAAAATCCCTGTTTTGTCTGTTAGAGTCAGGATTATCATTCGTGAATCAAGTGGAGATGATTTCCAAAGAAAAAAATCAACAGATGTCGCTGCGAGAAAATAAAATCCGCGCCAAAGACGACCCTGTAACAAATCATGATTTTATGAAATTGAAAAACACCAAAACGTAGCATTTTCTGTACACATGATATCATGAGTCTTTAAATTCAATGAAAAACATGAACAGTCAACGTAATATGTTGTTTAAAACACATTCAAGTCTTCAGAACCGCTACTATTCATCTTTGACAGCCAATGAAAATTTTTCAGCTCGGGACGAATTGACACATGATTGGTTTACATTAAGAAAAATAAATGTGACGAACGTTACCGTACAGCCATTCAGCCATATCAATGAATGTTTCTAGCATTCATTAGTTTGATATCACATTGTCCTTTTCAGCTGGAAAATTGCTGGAGAAGGATAAAATGTTTTGTACCGGTAAACAACATCTTTTGCATGTACTGTATAGATAGATATCGATTGACACCATTTGAGCAAGAGTTACTTCCCTTGTGTCTGCGGAGATGTACGTGCACAAGTTCCTTAAAAAATCAGCCAATTCAAATCGTTACACTGACCGCTTGAAGTCAGGAAAAATCTTTTTCTGAACAGTTTTGATTTCTCTTAATTTTGCTAAATTTGTAACCACTTTCTTTTATCAGATTTGTTTATACCGGAATGAGTCAAATAAGAAAATCAACCATTTACACCTCCAAAATGGCGTCCAAGGGAAATAACTCAAACTCAAATTCTGTCAACTCGAAACTTATCTATAGTATCGATTCGGATAATCCTGCAACAATCCAACCTATATAAACAATATTTATAGCATGAAGTGTATACATAATATCATAACTTAATAATTAATGAGCCTGTGGAGAGAAATATCGTTCCATACTCCTTGACTTAGAAAGACTTCACTAAAACGTAATAATTTTATGCTTTATAACCTTTGATGAATATTCATTAACAATACGTTTGATATGTTTTTAAGCACTTCCCGTTTCTCATAAACTCTGCTTGCATGGAACACATGTAACTTTGCTGGCTATATCATTATAATTGTAAACTCTAGTTTTGCATCAGAAGAACACGAACAGAGTGATAAGTTGTGAAGCAGAATGATTTCAGTTTAATTCGATATTTAAATACAACCAAATTCAGAAAATGTATTTTTTACAGTTAAAACGTGCCATAAATGTGTTCATTTTTTAAGCATGTACAGTGCATAAATCTTTTCAAGTTATTCAGTGCATTACTTTGAATTGTTTAAGTATTTTACGATGATTAACATACACTAACACTGGTTGATAAAAAAATATACAAGACTAAACATTTATTGTACTTTGGTATCCAGTTTTACGGGTTCGAATTGGAGAATGGTTTTTGGAACTAACAAGATGAATAACCGAAACCAGCGAATAGATGTATACAGAACATGAATATAATTTTACCATGAATTTACACACTACATTATATAACCGGCTATCGGTACGACAGTGAATTAATACAGAACAGAGACATAATTTTACCATGAATTTACACACCACATCCACTAACCGGCTATCGGTGCGGCAGATGCAGTAGATAACAAGGATCAAAATATTCTGTTCCAGATTGCAAAATCCATTTAATGCAATATCAATCGGAACGCAAACAAACATCTGCTATCATACACTTAAACAAAAACAATTGTTCTAATGGCAATCGAGAACACAAAACCAATGGTATCTGCCGTAGTGGTAGCCGATAATCGGTTGTGCATATTCGACAGGAAAAAAACCAAAAGTGCACATTGATCACTAATGCCCCTGCTTCCACACACTTTCCACATGTTTAAACAAGCATTAGAAAACTGTTAATGATATCATCTCAATTATAAGATATGACGGACGAACGAACAACAATGTACGATTATCAAAAAAATAAGACAAGAGAGGCGAAAGTGACCAAAAGAGATTTCAAACTCATTCAAAGTCAAAACAAACTGATGATGGCGTGTCAAAAAACGAAAAACGACCAAAAACACAAACAAGAAATGACCAAAAAAAAAGAGACAAAAAGACAAATGCGGCTCTCATAGTGTACATTTATTTCCTTCAAAACTTATAATGAGTGTCTTATACTCCTAATATACATGAATTTCTGACAATCCTATTAAGTCCGTATGCATACACAACAATCAAATATAAAATGTGTGTATGATTGTTTTCCAGCATTTTTTAATTAAAATCCTTTTGTATAAGTTAACTTTTCTTTCCACGTTACAGAAAATAAGAAAGCCGTCCAAATATATAAAGAAAAAGACAAGTCGATCAAAGTCGATGCCGATCTATACCTCTCAGCAACCAGTTATAATGGAAACGAGTTTCCCGCCACCAATACCATATCTTCAACGAACAATATCCCAGGAATCAGTACACTCAGCCAGGAACCAGGACATATTTGAAAAAAGAGCAACTCGGAAGTTGTCGTTGCTATCTCTTCCGACGAATTTCAGTTATATGGAAGAACTCGAAAAAACTGGGCACGATCTTAATGCAAACAGAAAGGGATCTTCTCGTTCTATAAATATATACAAGTGAGAACCTACGAGATCTATGCATCAAAAGTGTTGAAAGTGTTTTGAACAACACAACTTAAATATTGTAAATATCCGTTAATAAGAACAGCTCAACGTTTTGTGCGATGTTGGTGTAAATGGAATTCGAGTTCATTGCAGATGTCCTTGCCACGTGGTCCTTACATACCGTTGGATATTGTGGTCCAATGTAAGGATTTAATTTTCGATGTTTAAGACCTATAATATATTTTAACATTCCCTTAGGCTAGGACATTATTTATTTTTAGGAATATGTCGTTTTCTTGTAATACTTTTTTTTAAAACTAGAATTGTTATAGTAATGCAAGGTAGCGCGAAAATATACCCGGAACTTACAGATTTGTCTTGAGGAATTGACTTTTACGATTTTGTTTTTATCGTCCAATGAGAATCTCATATTTGTACATATGTAAATTAATATGGAATTGTGCAATTTCATTTATTTATAAAAAGAATCATTGCTAAATATGTTATTTTTTTAAATTTAATTGTGTGCATACAAGTGAACTCAATAGTATGTTTTCCAGATTTTGTTTCCGATTAATATAAGCTTAATTTCAACTGACTTTTATAGTTTGTTCTTATGTTGTGCTGTTAAACTACTGTCCCAGGTTATGGGAGTGTTGAGCGCTCACAAACATGTTTTAATCCCGCCACTTTCTTTATATGTCTGTCCCAAGTCAGGAGCCGGTAGTTCAGTGGTTGTTGTTTGTTCATGTCTGTCATATTTGTTTTTCGTAAAGTTTTTTTTTATAAATAAGGCTGTTAGTTTTCTCAATTTAATTGTTTCATGTCGGGGCCTTTTGTAGCCAACTATACGGTATGGGTTTTTTTTCATTGTTGAAGGCCGTACGGTTGCATATAATTGCTTACATCCACTTCATTTAAACATTGGCAATCATATGACATCTTTTTTTTATATTGGGGTACTTCTATTAGAAATAACAAAGATACTAAACTATAGAAGGTCAAGTACATATTCACTCGTTTAATCGGAAATCTAAAGTTTTTTTTTAATATGGGAGCGGTAGGTTTAAGCAGTGGGGAAAATGGACGACCTGTGATTGTGTTTAAAATGCCCAGCCTTTAAGGGAGACATTTTTGGACAGACATGTTATAACTATAGCTAACTTCCACGACGGTTGCCGCATGTAGATTAGGATCTGCTTACTTTTCCGGAGCACCTGAGATCACCCCCTGCTTTTTGTTGGGGTTCGTGTTGTTTAGTCTTTAGTTTTTCTATGTTGTGTTTTGTATACCGTTGTCAGTTACATTTCGACTTATGAGTTTTTACAATGTCCATTTGCCTGGTATCTTTTGCCTATCTTTTCCAATCATTTCACGAGCAAAACATCGTATTGCTGCTTCTTCGCTAAGCACGCGGCAATAAGGAGTAAGATCAAAGACTGGTCGGCTCGGAGTCAGAATAATGTGTCCGGGTAAAGTGACATGTCTTCCTGCTGACTGTTACCTTGTGAACTAGCATGCTAAAAATCCGGCTCAGCGTGTCAGTCTACTACAAAGCAAGGTTAATATTCATATAACATTAACATGTTTCCGTCATGAATATACATATCAATTAGCCGCTGGACGTTAAGCAGCCATTTATCATCATCATCATTTCACAAGCAAAACTGTCACCTGTAGTATAAACAACTCAATTCGATTATAATTTTTTTTTTTTACATTTTTACAGATGTGAATCACGGGAAATCGTTCATATTCAGAAAACGGTATATTCTGAACTGCTGTGAACTTTGAAAGTATAATATCTGAAATGACCAAATAAACTACTATCTGATTTTTATAAAGCAATCTAAAGGTTCGTTTTAAAAGTGAAGTTCGTAATTGTGGTATTCAAAAACTTTTATTGGCAATCATTATTCATACAGCATTGTTGGTTTGCAAGAATTTTTTTTTCTCTATTTTGTATAAAGGCTTCGAGTGGCATCCACTTACATGTAACTTGTATAAAATTGTCTGTATGTGCAAAAGAGCTTGTTAAAACGTTATATGAGGGTATGGAAGGGGGTTTACAGAATAGAGAATAATGTACAAAAAAATATAAAGAATAGAGAAAAATGGACCAAAAAAATAAAGAATAGAGAATAATGAGGTGCTAAAATATAAAGAATAGAGAATTATGGGCAAAAAGTATAAATACTAGTAATAGAGAAAAATGGCCTAAAAAATGAAAGAATACATAAATGAAGGACCCCCCCCCCCCCCCCCCATCATCCAGACCCTCTTAAAGGAATTCGCAGCATAAACCACGGATAACTTCCATCCGGTACATTCGAGACCAAAGGTTTGGATAACCAGGCAAACAAATGTCATAAAAGTGATAAGGGCCTAAAAAAGGACAACAACAAAACAAAAAAGATACAAAAGGGACACCCAATTAAAATCATGAGTCGAAAACGAAAGGACAACGCTATGGCAAATTGTAATTGAAAAAAAAGTCTTACGATCATGAAAAAAAAAAAATATTAAAAAAAAAATTGATTGATTAGTTATTGTTGCTTAATGTCCAGTGGCAAATGTTTCATGCATTTTCGGGACCAGAACAAAATAACTACCAATCCAATGAAATACTTACAAAAGTGTGTGAACCTGGATGAAGGGCGGACAATTTTGACTTCTTCAGGGAAAGGAGGATATGCAAGACATGTGCAGAAATTGTGACATTCAACGACCTCCTCATGCAGTTGAGTTGATATAAGGCCAAATTCATTTTCACATAGAGATATAGATTCTTACATTGATACCAGTTGATTATCGGATTTGTCCAATCGAGATAGTTATATAAATTATCAATTTTAAAGTCTGAGCCTTGGCGAGGACTTTAAAATTTATGATTTAACTATCGAGATTGGATAAATCCGATAATTCACGAGTAACTATGTAAGAATCGGTTTCTCTAATGATTTAAAAATACATTTTCATTTTTTGTTAAACCAAACCCCCTTCGAGTGCCTTCCACATTTCACAAAGTTGTCAATTTGATTAACACCTGTTAGCATATTTTGAGCTGATAAAGGTTATGACCCTTAAATTCATCCAATCATCTTCTGAGATCACCGGCAACCACACGTTGATTAATTTTTTTTATACAATGAGTGCAGAAAGGAATAAATTGTCAAAGAATTAGAGAAAACGTAATACTTGTGCTACTACAGAGTGACGTATTTGGTACCATTCAAATCGGACGTGGTTGTATATTTATACATCCAACCTAGTGAAAAAGGACTCAGACAATTACCTTCACATTTGACAGTACAAAATAGCTAAATTAAAAACGTCACTGGGTCAGGGCTAGAGTAGAGACCTATTCATCATGCATCATTTTGCGTAATAACATTTTTATTGATTTCTTCTGAAATACTTAGCACAATTCAAATATTTGGGACTATAGATAAGTCATTAATATGTTTCGATCCAAAGAATGTATCATATAAAAAAAAAGATAAAAAAAATAAAGATATTAGGGTCTGGATGGGGTTTACAGAATAGAGAATAATGGACAAAATTGCCAGAATAAAGAGCAAAAACTTTAAAGAAAAGAAAAATAAGCCAATAAATAAAGATAGAGAATAATGGGGTGCTTGAATGTAAAGAAAAGAGAATAATGAGCAAAAGTTATAAAGAATAGAGAAAAATGCTCAAGAAATTAAAGCATACAGAATTGAAGGACCCCTACCCAGACCCTCAGATATTATTCGGATGTAAGCGAAATTTACATGAAAATTCCCTCGACAACAAAATAAGACAAAAACAAATTACATAAGTTGAAATATAAGTAATGTTAAAATTCATCACGTTATTATTTTTTTTTTAAATTCGCTTTCAAAATGAGCCGGAAGATACCAAGGGAACATTCTAAAATCATCAGACGATAATAAACTGACAATGCCATGGCAAGAAAAGAACGATAATGAAAAGGCAAATAAGTACCCAAAAGACTGCTACATTTTTTTGTAAGTAGAAAACTAAAGACTGAGAAACTCAAATCTCGCTAAAACAGGAGGTAATCTTATGTTCATCAGAAGGGTAAGCAGATCCTGCTCCACTAGCGGCACCCGTCTAGTTCTATATAAAAACTGCCTTACACATAATTTATTCCATTCCCGCCAAAATTGACCCATAATATGACAATTCACATTCTACACAATGAATTAAGAGAGGTAGGAAGGACTTCTTTTTCGGATATTCGGTATTTACACTAATAGAGACTCGGGTACTAGTTAATTTGGGGACCCGGGAAAGAATGCTTATTTTTTCTTCGGATTTCACGTATCCCCATTAATGAACAATAAAGAGGCAAGACATGTCCAATGCAAACGACAGCAAGGTTTTTTTAACACTATACTTTATTTTGTAAAATAGTTGTCCTGTACTTGTATATAAATTGTCTTGGAAAGCCTTTAGTATAATTTGTATCGCTAATATTATCACAGGACATCTAATTGTGTCCCTTAGTGTCATGCTCCGCCCCTGATCTTAAATTTTCAAAATATTTGAAAAAATGTACAGTTTCCACCTCCTTTTCTTCAAAACATTACCAACCGTGTGCGGCCAACTTTGCCTGAGGGAGTTGTTCCTTAGTCTTATAGTAACATTTACACAATGTTTGTTTACAGGAAATTTACTGACAAAATATATCATTTACATCATTCAAATAACAACAAAAAAACACACAAAAAAAAAAAAAAAAAACACGGGCTACTGAGCGAATGGTTCTCTCGGAAACAGAAAGTGAACAGCTCACATACAGCGGTACAGACCCATTAATGGTATAACTCGAATAATTCGGCGCCTGTAGCGGCCTATAGACTATATCGCTAAGTTAGCGATCGGAAATTAGCTGGAGAACGGCGGAATACAACGACTGACATTATTCGGGTTATTAATGGTAAAACGTATAATATAACTTACGTTCTCATAACACGTGTTTCTGTTGTAATAGCATAAACATTACTAATCATCACTGCCAAGATATTTTTTTCAATAGTATATTTGAGACATGAGACAGGTGTGACAAAAATACTTGTTGGACGAACAAGAGGACGGACTGACGGACGAACGGACGGACGAACGAACGCACAGACGGAAGAAAGTACAAGGTAATTGCAATAAGCATTTACTTAAATATGATATAAGTATCAATGAGTATAATAATGATGAACAAAGGTTTTAATTAAGTGAAACCACTCGTTTTCATAAATAATAATGCTTTAGGTTTTCCATAAATTCTTGGCATCTAGTTGGATCTCAGTGACGTGTTGCCTTGTCTTGAAAATATTTTTATATATAACATCTTTTAGTGGTAATATACACTTTTGATTACAAATTTGTATAAGTTCAGTTAGTTAAAAAAAACTTTTAAAAGGTTAAAAGTTTAAGGTCCCTTTAGGTCATTAGCTCCCCACGTTATCAAGTAGTTAAACAGTACATCCCTGGATTTCAAATATTTATGTTTGAGCGTCCCTGATAAAGATACACCAAGAGAAGAAAACCCCCATTCGGAAGCATCATATCTATAAAGTGTTTCATTCAGATTGTATT